GGCTCACAAGACTATCTCCAGCTCCAGCCAGGGAGAAGAAAGACGGAAGTGAAGCAAGGACTTCCCTGTTGGTATTACCATTGCAACCGAATGCATCTCTCTGGACACAGCCATCGATTCTGTTAATAGTCATCTTAATTTCATTTATCTCTGCGGTTCGGGGTCAGATACAGATACAAACCGAATTAATGTCACTTCTAATTTATAATTTCCGCCTGCCCAAAGGTAAACCCATCAATTTCCACACTTTTTCCGGATAGTTGCACTTTGTAATTTTCTACCAATTACTGAAATGAAATGAAATCCAATTTTGACTTCTGATGTGTGCATCCTCTGACATTTCTGGATGACAGCCGCAGCCACAGCCACAGCCGCAGCCGCAGCCACCGCCCAATGCCTATGGTAATTAGAGCCGGCTGACATTTTGACTGGCCAACGCTTCCAGCTGAATTTATTTCTGTTTAATATTGATATTTTACCGCTTGAATATTGAATATTTCGCATCGAATCCTGTTTGATCTGCCATTGTGGATTTCATTCAGCTCTCGTTTGAGTTGTGCTTGGACAAAGGCTGTTCCATTCTCAGTCTCAGTTTTATTCGAACATTAATTTGATTGACCAGAAATGTGAGTAATAGAAAGCCGTCGAGGGTTGGGCCAGACAAGGTGGCAGGTGCTTCTGAATATGCTTGAAAGTGGCTATAAATAGATGGTTGGATTCATAACAACAGATCATCCTCTGATATGGCTGGCTGTAGACGGTAGCTTCTATTCGATCACGGGGTCCACATCCCATGCCATCCTCCGTTTAAGTAATTTTTGTATGCATTCTTTTTGGAATCTTAACTGGAGGAAGTCTTGCTTCGCTTCGAGGATGCAAATCTGGAATTTCATGGAGTAAACCTTGAAACATTCGCTCTTTTCTGCATTTGGAAATACTCCTCAGCAGCAATTATGCAACTCATCAAAAACAAACACTCTTTCCCTGCCCCTGCCTCTGCCTCTGCCTCTGCCCCGTCTGCATTGTTTGGTGGATTCGTGCAAAGTTAAGCAAAATACAATATTCGGTACGGGGGGAGGGGGCATGAGGCATGATCGGTGGGCAGTTCAGTGAACCCGTTCGGGAAGACATTCCTCAGTGGCACACGCTGCAGATGTCATGATGGTGGATGGTGGATGGGGGCTGGGGGATGGGGGGAACCAGTCCCAGAACCAGAACTCCGGATGAAATAGATATTTGCATTTCAATAACTTTGATTGTGTAACGTGTGGTCCGGAGAGGGGCAGGCAGCGAGGGGCCCACTGGGAGCACCGTTATATGTCCATCCACAATGAAAGTTTTCTGTTCTGTTCGGCTCAGATCCGTTCTGTTGCACCAGCGACGCGTATCTGTGGGATACATTTGCATATTTAACGGAGTTCTTTGAACCCCAATTAATCGTCCGCTCTGCTCCGCGCCGTCCAGATGCAGGGCCGCCTGGGCCCGCCGTATCTCCATCTAGAGACGACCCAAAAACAAGAGACAAATGAAATCAAATTAAATAGAATTGAATGTCCGAGTCGTAAAACTTTATCGCTCTCGTTCTGATCGAGCATCGGACTGCCGAGAGCCCCAACTAGAAGTGGAAACTGGAATAGATCTCTGACCCGGACCGGTTTGATCTGATCGGATCGTTAAGCCGGGCAAGATTATTTAATATTTGCTGACAGCCCGTGTCCGCTTAACAAGTGTTAGCCAACATAAATCGCGGCTCCTAAGAGCGGCCATAACTTCTGGAGAATCAGCCTTATGAATACCAGATCTTATCGGGCTCTATTGTCGAGGGAGGAGAGTGCTCCGAGTCTGTCTCCTACTGTCTGCTGTCTCCGCACTCCACTTTGATTAATGCGAGCAATTACCTGCTCGAGTGTGGGCCAACCAATTAATTAATGCTGATTAATAATTTATCTCCAAGTCACTCTCCCCGAGAGCCCATGCCAGCCTTTTTGGAAACATCTTAGGGGCAAAGCAAAGTCCTTTGGCCTCAGCGACAGCCTGGGACCCACCGCAGTGGGAGCCTCTCCGATATGCAAATCGAATTCCCCGAAAAAACATCTTCGCAGCGCATTTATCTTAAAGATGCGAATTAACAGCGCGCTGCTAATTAATATCAATTTAAATTTATTGGCACGTTAACCAAGCCGCAATCCATGCGCCCCACCCCACACTCGAAAACGGAACTTGAATGGCAGCGACAGAGACGGAGACAGAGACGGCGACAGCGACTGCTCCCCCTCTCCACAGGTGACTGATGGAGGTACATTCACGAAGGTGAATGTTGGGAAATGATTATGGAATACTCCCATTAGAATGAAGAGGCATTTAGCTGTGGAGGAGCTACTGCCTTAGAGTGCCTTACTTTTTGTTGGGGTATGAGCAGTCCACGGAGCAAAAGGTGGACTACTAAACTATTCAGAGTGTGCTCTGGGCATATTATTACTGTGCTCCGTGCCATAAGCAGAGTATTCGCCTGTTCAGTGGCATATCCCCGTCCGGGATTGATTGTATTCTGCCCGCTTTATTGCAGTCGGCGTGTTGCGACAGCAGTAAAGCAATCGCCATAAAACAATCCGCTGGATGGCAGCGCAAATTAAAAAACGCTCATTAAAATAAATTGCCAAATCCCCAAACCCAGTCCCAGTCCCAGTCCCAGTCCCAGTCCCAGTCCCCGTCCCCGTCCCACTCCTCTAAAACCCTGTTCTTTTCTGATGTTCCGATGCTCTATGAGTCGGTCTGCAAGTGATATTAATCAATATGAAAGCCGCTTTCGAGTTCAGCGAGCTTGGCGCTTTCGTGTTCGCTTTCCCATTTGGGAGGTGCCTGGACTGGGGGTCGGGGGTCACCTTGCACATGGCTGGAGCCGCAGACGCTAATCCCCCATCCATCCTAGGGGTCTTTCCGCAACTTTTGCCATCTTTAACTTTCACTCAATCCTTAAATCTGCTTTTCCTTTCAGATCCAAAGATGTCCGTGGACTGGCGACTGTTGGGCGGGCTCTGCCTGCTGCTGGTGGTCGTGGCCGTGAACGGGGAGCTGTACACGGCGCTGGCGGAGATGGAGGAGCTGCTTGAGACTGAGTCGGTGCTGATAACCAACCTGGAGGGCTACATCCGCGTGCAGGAGGACAAGCTGAGCTTGCTCAAGAAGTGAGTATGCGAGTATGCCGAAGATACGGCCACCGATACAGATTAATGGCCTTCGCTTAATCAGTCTTAAGTTTCGCATGCAAAAACGTCTTTTATATTTCCATTCCTCATGCAAATGAGGCTGGGGCGAATATCTCGTATATCTTCTAATGAGGGAGTGGGGCAAGCCCCCGAATGGGGGCTCAGGTAGTCTTCTGGTGCATTCCGGTAATTGCTTTTGCCACGTGCGTGCCGCGGTAGCTGTTGCACGTCGCCCGCAGACGGAGATACACCCAGGCAGGCATGTATCTGCCGCGGCGCCCTGCACACATGATTATAGATACATGTACGAGATACAACCTAAGAGATACACACACACTCGCTTATACTTATGCTTATGCTTATGCCTATGTACAAATGTAACTGCGTGTTTGTTTGTGGCAGCGGAAGCACATGGGGGAACGCCGAGCAGAGAGCAGAGAGGAGAGAGCAGAGAGGGCACAGAGGAGATACCAGATAGCAGAGCGGTGCAGGATGCGGTGAGGCAACTCCCCTAATCAAATAATGCCATATCCAGACCCGGGCTCAAGCAAAGGCAGAGGCAGGATCTATCTGGATGTTCCTGTTCCTGTCGCTCCTCGGCTTTGTCACAACAAAGGACGAGGCGAGATCCTCACAACAGCTGACAGCTGTTTGCCTGTCGCTGTCTTGTATCTGTGAGTGTCTTTGTATCTGTGTATCTGTATATCTGTATATGTGTATCCTTGTGCGCTGTCATTGCCCTGCAGTTGAAGTCCCTTTCTGTCTCTCCCGTCGCTCCGTCTGCTCATCATCATCTCTTCGCTCTCTCTCTCTCTCTCGCTCTCTGCGGGTGTCTATCTGTGAGATACACTACTCTGTCAGTGGATTGTGGCGCGTGCCGTCTGCTGGCAGGAGTTGAAGTTTTAATGCCGCTTTAAATTTTCCAACTGACATCTCGCCAGCGGGCCAGCGGGACAGCTGTCCAGCGCCTGTGCCCGACCGCTCGGCTAATCCCTTTGACAGCCAGCTCCAGCTCCAGCCTCAGCCCCAGTCCCAGTCCCTGCCTGACCCCCCGCTGAGCATCGCCCACCCAGTGAAACTTTGATTTAATTTTGGCCTGCGCCTGCCTCTGTCCACGGCTGGCCGAAACTCAATTAAATTTCCCAGCGCAGGACAAAGAACAATCTGCGGGAGCTCTGCTCCGCCAGGATATGGCTATGCATATGCACTGCCGGGACATGAGGATATGTGCATGCAATTTGCATAGGGACTCACACAGGATAAAATACGGTGGAGATATGGGATCTCCCTGGCGTGCCACTGAAACGTAACGGTCGCTGCCGAGGGGTGGGGCATCCGCGAGCTCCGCAGGGAAGGTTTTCGCTGCACAAACACACACACACACAGGCAACACACAAAGAGAAGAACGCCGAAATTCGAGGGGAGAATAGCAGACGTGGTAGTCGAAGTAGTTATGTTATGAGTTGGTAAATAAGAATTATACGAGTAGTGCTGATAAAGAGACCTCGCCCAGGGAATGCCGGCTGCGGCTGCGGCTGCTCCTGCCTTTCGATTCGTTTCAACCCTCGTCGGATCGGATCGGAGCGGAGCAGAAGCAGAAGCAGGAGCAGATGTTTCTGTTTTCTGTTTCTGGCCTAATGGAACGCGCCAAACGGAACGCACAACAACAGGCATTGTACGGGTGTCTCGGCAGAGCTCCTCTATATGTGTATTACGAGTAAATGCATAAATGGCTGAATGGGGGAAGGGGGGAGGGTGCGCGGTCGGGCACGATCCACTCGACTGCGCGCCTGCGCAGGAAGTCGAGGAGCCGACGTTTGCCCAGTTCTAGCTTCAGTCGAGTCGCAGTTGTCGTCGCGAGCGGATCGAAAACAGCAAGAGACGGACCTCGCCAGAGAAAAGTGAACCCTAGAAAGTGTACAGAGAATAAGTGAAGTGAAACGCACCCCAAGACCCTACACCCTAGACCCTAGACCCTAGACCCTAGAGCTGAGATCCAGTACAGTGCACAGAACACAGATCATGTCGCAGCACAACTACACGAACCCCGCGTTCTGCCAGAACAGCGAGTTCTATCCGGTGCCCAGCAGCGGCAAGGGCAGCGGCAGCAGTCGGGTGGAGTCCATCTACAACCGCAGTCTGCAGCTGAACTTCGGCGCCGTCCCTCGGCCAGCCCATGTCGCGCCCTCGCCGAGTCGCGATCCCCGCGAGGGTCCCCTGCGGATGCAGCGTAGCATGTCCACGCGATCGGTGACGCGGAAACAGCAGCAGCAGCAGCAGCAGACACATAACTACCAGCAGCAGAAGCCGAAACAGCTGCAACAGAACCACCAGCAGCAACAGCAGCAGCAGCAACAATCTTCAAGTGGTCGCTATGCCCTGGTGCCTCTGGAGGAGCTCAACGTAAGCAGAGCCAGCCGGTACGCCATAGTGCCCGGACAGGCGGCCCAGCGACTGGCCAGATCCCAGGACAACCTCGATCGCTATGGATCGCGATACGGACTGCAGTCGGAAGAGGAGCCGCACTCCTTCCACGAGGAGCCGCACCAGGAGACGCAGTTTGCGAGCCTGCCGCCCATGCTGAATGGCCTGCCTCCGAAGCCCAACGCCATCCAAGGACAACAGGGACTGCAGGGACAGCAGGGACAGACGAAGATCAAGCACGCCTTCAGCAGCGACTTCGGCAGCAAGACGTTCCTCATCGTGGACAAGAACAGCAACCAGCGGTACCAGATGGTGCCCACGGCCGAGGACGAGGAGCTGGTGGACGAGAACCAGGAAATCATCCAGATGCACAACGGTCGAGCCCATCGGTACGCGATGATACCGACGGACGCCGACGAGGAGGAGCTGGCCGAGGAGGAGTCCTCGATGATGCTGCAGCAGCAGGAGACGTGCCTCAGCACCACGGAGCTGAGTCAGCAGTTTGCCGCAAGGACCTCGACACCACAGCAGAGGAATGCGGCGGCCGCCACACGGGCGCTCCACGAGCTCCTCACCACGCCTCGGAAGATGCAGCCGCCGCCGCGGCTGGCCCACTCCACGCCCCGCAACGCCGCCCACCACGAGCAGCTGCAGCTGGAGCGCCGCCTGCAGCTCTACCAGAGCCAGCAGATCCTCAGCCAGGTCGCTCCTGCCCCTCCTCCTCCCACACTGCCGCTCCGCCAGAACCGACTCTCGCCGCAGAGACTCCACTACGAGACGGTGAAGGCAGCTCCTGCCCCGCTTGCGGACCGCTCCATGGCCGTGATCAGTCCGCGCGTGCAGGAGCAGGAGCGCGACCTGGAGCAGGACATGAGCAGCATCCAGGGCAAGCCGCAGAACAACAACTCCTACCCGCAGAAGCTGGCCAATGCCACCATCACCCTGGCCATAGTCTCCCTGATGCTCGTCCTGGGCAGCACCATGAATGCCGGCCTCATCATCTACATGATAGCCCACGTAAGTCGATAGTCAAGCAATCCGTGAACTCTCGAAGGATCCCTGGCTAACCTGTCGTTTCTTCCTCCAGTTTGGCAAGTCCTTCTATCTGCAATTCGGTTTGGTGGCCTCCTTCTGCGGCGTAGGCCTGGGATTCCTCGGATTCCGGTCGCGCCACTGCGAGTGGCTGCCGAACCGGAGCTACACCTCCGGCTACATCCTGGTCACCGTGTTCTGCCTGTTCAAGAGCTGCGGACTGCTCGTCATCCTTGTGCTGGACCCGTTCCCCGGCCTGCCGCTACACGACGTCACCACGGGCGTCATCCTGGGCCTCTCCACCTTCACCATGTTCTTCATCGGCCTGGGCGTCATGGGCAGCCTCTGGTGCTACCGTCCCCCGCCAGACAACCGCGTCAACGTGGTCTAAGGATCGTCTGACTTCTGCGAGTGGAGTGTACTTTAAGTTCCCGAAATAGATGTAGTCCCCTTCCTTCGAGCACTCGGCACACGGAACGGCTAAAAGACCAAAACTAGTATTATTCATAGAGTTTTAGAGGCGGACTCAGCCTCGCCCCAAGAGACTGTAAATACCATGTGGGTTGTAGTTACCTTACGAGTAGATTGTAGTAGTTTGTTTCTAATCTAGACTGTTTAAACCCCTCCTAACTTATTGTTCACCCTTAGGCTAAGTGAAAGTATCGATAAGCACACAATAAAGGCACTTTCAACAGCACTTCTTGGGGGGTTCCTCAGTGGTTCCTCGTTTGGATTTCTTTGGAAGAGAACACAAATGGGCTACTGATTCTCCCGGTACTCATTTGCGAGGAAGAACTTATGGAAATTCAGTAAAGCCAGAAATCCATCCCTTAATTGCTGGGAAAACTTCTTCTGCGAAGGTTTTGCCCTGCTCTAATACGATTTGCAAACTCAAGAAAAACACTTGGTAAACTTTCTGAAAACTTTGCTTGATTCCGTCTCCAGCAAAATGGACGAGTACCAGCGGGAGCACGCGGACGCGGCCAGCGATATAACCGCCTACGTCTCGAACCCGATCAATGCCTACCTCTTGACCAAGCGGCTGACAACGGACTGGCGCCAGGTGGAGAACCTAATGGAGCACGACGTGGGCACTGGTGAGTGGGGGGCCTCCCTCCACGCCTGACATCCATGACATCTGTCCCTCTCTCTCTTTCTCTCTACCCCTCCAGACTTCCTGCAGAATCTCACGCAGTACCGGAACGTGCTGAAGTTCCCCTCGGACGAGGACCTCAACGGGGCGGCGGTGGCTTTGCTGCGGCTGCAGGACACTTACCAGCTGGACACATCCAGTGTGGCACGCGGCAAGCTTAACGGGATCCAGTACAGGTAAGTGGGAAGGAGAAAGGTCCGACTAGACCCGGAATGACCACCCTTTACGGAACTGCAGCACGGAAATGTCCTCGGACGACTGCTTCGAGCTGGGGCGGCAGTCGTACGTGAACAACGACTACCACCACACGGTGCTCTGGATGAACGAGGCGATGTCCCGCATGCTGGAGGAGCCCCTCAACCAGACCCAGACCTTCACCCGGGCCGATGTGCTGGAGTATCTGGCCTTCTCCACCTACAAGGAGGGTAAGCATCCGGCAGTTGCCTCTCGTTGTTGTCCCCCGACTCGTTTGCATGGCACTTTTGAGGTCCATTTGGCTGCAGGAAATTGCACTCTAGCCAGGTGACTCGAGGTGCACTAAGAGCCAGGCATTAAGTGCGAAAAACTGTTGGCCATCTGCAGTCACTGGGACAATGTTGTGGCTAAGAGCAGCAGCAGCCCCACCCACAGCCACGTAGTCGGAGCCAGGCCCAGGCCCGGGCCCAGGCTCCAGGCACATCCCCCGCCCATCCTCATCCTCGTCCTCATCCTCTGTTGGCTTATGAACGTCTTATTACCCATGGATTGCCAGTGCGCCCCTATCCGTTCATCAAAGAGTTGCCAGGCACACGCATCTGTATCTACACTCACTTTGGGCGTACCACCACACGATTTATGGGCGGGTCTTGGGCGTAGCGGAAGTGCCGCCATATTGTGTTGAGGAAGGACGGCAAGCAAAAAAAACACGCACGCACACACTTGCACTGACACTCACACTCACACAAATGTGTCCGCCCATGAGGCAAGTGACAGGCTTTCTGTCACCCCTTCCTACCCCCGTTCCTAGGAGGGTAGGGTAGCAGTAGTAGCAGCAGCACACATGTGGGTCGTGTGTCGGGGAAAATTTAAATTCCTGTCTCTGACAAGGTCTCAGAGTTTTGGTTGAGGTTGAGGTTGAGGCTGGAGCCTCACAGTGGAGTGGTGTGCCCTCAAGTGGCAGGCAAACTTATTAGAGAAATAGGAAGGGTCGGGGCCAGGAACACCGTTGCAAATGAATAACTAAGCAAGCACCAGGGAAACAATCCAATACAAGTTTTTGGTTCGTTTGGGGAAAAGTAACTTTCCAACTGGAAAATGCACCACAAAAAGAGCCAGAGTGTAGCATACTTTCGGGCACGTGGAGTTATTCTTGTGGCTGAGCAATTTGTGGATGGAATTTAATTCTTGACTCCCCAATCCTCAATCCACTACAGGCAATGTGGAGAGTGCTCTGGTCATGACCAACGAGCTGCTGCAGCTGCTTCCCAATCACGAGCGGGCCAATGGCAACAAGCGCTTCTACGAGAAGGAGATCGCCCACCAGAAGGAGATGAAGAAGATGAAGGGCGACGATGGCACCGACGAAATGCCCGTCTCCGATCTGGTAAGGAAGTTTCTCTCGGACACAGCTCCCGACCGTCGATTCCCACAGACTTTAATGGTTTCTTTCTTCAGCCCGTGGCCAGGAGCGATACTGGTGAGCTCGGCGTGAAGGAGCGCAAGTCCTACGAGATGCTCTGCCGCGGGGAGCTGAAGCCCTCGCCGACGTACATGCGATCGCTGCGCTGCCGTTACGTCACCAACAACGTGCCCTTCCTGCGGCTGGGACCCTTAAAGCTGGAGGAGGCCCACAAGGATCCGTACATCGTGATCTACCACGACGCCATGTACGACAGTGAGATGGATCTGATCAAGCGCATGGCCCGCCCGCGCTTCCGTCGCGCCACCGTCCAGAACTCGGTCACCGGGGCGCTGGAGACGGCCAACTATCGGATCAGCAAGTCGGCCTGGCTGAAGACCGAGGAGGATAGCGTGATTGCGAAAGTGGTGCAGCGCACTGCGGACATGACTGGCCTGGACATGGAGTCGGCCGAGGAGCTGCAGGTTGTCAACTACGGAATCGGTGGCCATTACGCGCCGCACTTCGACTTTGCCAGGGTGAGTAGTCCTTCCCAGCGAGACGCCCCTTCGTTCCCTGTTTCCCTGTCTATTATGTTTCGAATCCTTGCAGAGAGAGGAGAAGCGTGCTTTCGAGGGCCTCAATCTAGGCAATCGCATTGCCACTGTCCTATTTTATGTGAGTTTTACTGATTCTTTGCCAGATCCTATGAGCTTTATCTTATATTTCGCGAATCCCTTGCAGATGAGCGATGTGGAGCAGGGGGGAGCCACTGTGTTCACCACACTTCGTACTGCTCTGTGGCCCAAGAGGGGGACGGCTGCCTTCTGGATGAATCTGCATCGAGATGGCGAGGGCGACAAAAGGACACAGCACGCTGCCTGTCCCGTCCTCACGGGCACCAAGTGGGGTAGGTTCTACCACATTCTACTTCTCATCTTCGAACATTCGTGACATCTTCTGCTCTTTCCCAAAATAGTTTCCAACAAGTGGATACACGAGCGCGGCCAGGAGTTCCGACGGCCCTGTGCCTTGAACGAGGACAGTGGCGACTTCGCCATCTAGTTTGGGCTCTAGTTAATACAATGCAACGAATCTTAAGTGCGGAGAGGACCCTCTGAATCTCATCCCTCTCCCTCGCCCTCGCAGGCTGGCCATCGAATTCCTAATGTACATACAGCATCCAGCTGGAAGGCGGCGGCATCTCTTCTATTCTGTACACACTTACGGACTGCATAGACTGTCCATAGCTATATCATAGAAACCTATTGAATTTATCTACTTTTGTATATTGCCTAGTTTAAATAGTAGAACAAATTGCAATAAATCGAATGCGAAACCATAACAGGAGCACTCTTCGAGCGCTCCGATTCCGAGTGCTCCCCACGCTAATGCCCGATTAGTGGCGGTGTCCACACACCCACAAGCCACTGGCTGCCCATCCATCTGTCCTCAGGGCTCATCCATCAGAGGAGCTTTGCCTCGGTTCCATCAGCTGTTAACAGATACATACGTGTGTAAGTGTGTACACGTGTGTGTGTGGGTGTGGGTGTGTATCTGTGTGTCCATGCATAGAAATCGGCTTACGAGGGCCGCGTTGCATACTCTGCGGTGCCGGCGGCAAATTCGATTTGCCTGAAAAGTGAAAAGTGCACCCATGCGGCAGGCAAGAGGTTTGCTGTGCTGGGGCTTGACAGAATTATGGAGCACATGTCGATGGGATTGGCTAATTTAGCTAAATGGTGGAGTATGCTATTGCAACGAGGCTCTGCAAGATGATCTGCACTACGAATAAGGCACGGTGTACGGTGTACCCTTGGAACAGAAGGAGGTATCTCCTGAGAGCAGTACGAATAGCAGTTGGTCTTTTCCGGAAACTATTACATCTGGAGTACGAGAAAGGTCCCGAATGTGAGTATTATAATTAAAAATGTAAATGGCTTAGGTCAGAATATTTGTTTTTTAACAATTCATTCTTCTGGTGACATGCATCTACACGATCAAAGTACCCCCCTCTTGCACCCTACAATTACCGGGTATAAAAATGTCCATCTGCACCTGCTTGCTCTGGGAAATGCCAGAGAGGGAGAGTGAGAGAGAAAGAGGGGGAGAAAAGCAGAGAGCCAATTGTTTGCTTAGCCGCACTTGTGTCTGTGGCTGGCATTTGTTTGCCGAGCGTTTTATTCTGGATACGTGACAGTTTCTAAATGGAATATCATTCTTTTGGGCCATAGATAGATGGCCCTGGCTCAAGAATTATCCATCAGCTACAGTCAGTCTCAGTCGTTTCCCTCATTTCACAATGTCACATCGTGTTTGGTGCTGCCTGTCTCTGTGGCTGGTCCTCGCGCTCCTGCTCATTATTCGTGGCGGCGGTGTCCGGGCAGAGTTCTACTCGTCTGTGGATAGTATGCAGGACCTGGGGCAACTGGAGTTGGAGCTGCTGAATGCCACGCGTTCCTATCTGAAGGCCCAGCAGCAGCAGATTAACTTATACCGCAAGTAATTCAGTCCAGATTGAGGTCACTCGGCGCTGGGGATTGATGTCTTTTGGCAGATTTGTAGAGCAGCTGAAGCGGGAACATGTCATGGCCATGGATCTGATAGATCTCGATGAGTACCTGGGGCATCCGCTGCATGCGTTCAGGCTGATCAAGCGACTGGTCTACGATTGGGATGCTCTGCACGCTCCTGTGGTGGAGAACAAGCCCAGAGAAGGTGATTGATTATTCGCAAGAGGTTTAAGGTGACTCCTCTAAGAGCATGTCTCTCTTCATCGCAGACTACCGGCAGGTGGTGGATAGCCTGTCCAAAGAAGTGGGCTTCCCAGATCTGTCGGAACTTCAGGGCGCCGTCAAAGGTTTGGCTCGACTGCAGAGAGTCTACAATTTCACCGCACCGGACCTGGCCGATGGAATCATCAACGGTTTCTTCTACGACTCGGAAATGGACTGGCGAGATTGCTACGAGATCGGGGTGCAGCTCTTCGATTTGGGAGAGCACCACCGCTCTTTGGAGTGGCTCCAAGAGGCGTTCCGCCTTCTCCGGGCCAATCCCGAGATGAAGGAAGCAGAGAAGCCCCAGTTCATAGCTGACATCAGGGAATACGCGGCCTTGGCCAACTTTGAGCTGGGAAAGCCCACGCGAGCCGGCACACTCTTGGAGAAGGTGCTGCAGACCGAACCCACGCATCCCGCACGGCACATACAGAAATATGTGGACTACAGGGATCTGGCGGGCTCCAATAAACATGAAAAAGAGCCCTCATGGTTCGGCAACTACTCAAGGCTTTGTCAGGGCAGAAGATTGCCCGAGAAGGGCAGTGGAACTTCACTCCGCTGCTTCCTCGATGGCAAGAGACACGCTTACTTCACTCTCGCTCCCCTACAGGTGGAGCAGGTGCATCTGGATCCCGACATCGACGTGTATCATGGGATTCTGACCCTCGATCAAATCGATTCCATCTTCGAGGCGGCGGACAAGCAGGAAATGACCCGCTCTGGGGTGGCCGGAGACGGTGGCACGCGAACCGTAGTCGATCTTCGGGTCAGCCAGCAGACGTGGCTTGACTACGAGAGCCCCATAATGAAGTCCATCGCTCGCCTGGTGGTATTCATTTCCGGCTTCGACATAGCCGGGGCCGAGGCCATGCAGGTGGCCAACTACGGCGTGGGCGGACAGTATGAGCCCCATCCGGACTACTTTGAGGTCAACCTTCCGTCTGATTTTAAAGGAGATCGCATCTCCACCAGCATGTTCTATGTGAGTGAGGGCATCATCTAGTATTACTCGTATGTATCTCGAATCAGTGTTCTTTCTGTACATGGCAGCTCTCTGATGTAGAACAGGGCGGCTACACAGTCTTCACCAAGCTGAATGTCTTCCTGCCTCCCATCAAGGGTGCGCTGGTCATGTGGCACAACCTGCATCGCTCCCTGGACGTGGATCCGCGCACCCACCATGCCGGCTGTCCTGTGATTGTGGGCTCCAAGCGCAGTAAGTACACGTGTTATTATCTCTGCTGTACAAGGTATTGATCACTTTTTATCCTTCCGCAGTTGGAAACATTTGGATACACTCGGGCCACCAGGAGTTCCGCAGGCCGTGCAACCTCACCTCCGATAGCTTCAAGTCCGTGGCCTATCGGGAATGAGTGGGGCTTTTGTCTCTTAATAAACTAATGTCTTATTTTAATGAGTGCTTTAGTGGCTTTCAGTCAAAGTTTTTGAAGTGTAAAGAGGCGAGGTGATTCCGCTGAAGATCGCAGGGCCGCACACGATCCTGATTGCGCTCGCGGATCCACACATTGGCAACTGCAGAGACAGAGTCAGAGATCAATCGGATGATTTCAAATACTGGTTTTGGGGCTAAACTTACTCCACTTGCTGCCCTGAAGAACAGGGCAGGCGGCATGCTTCGTGCGGAAGTCCTGGTCCCCAGACGGATGCAGGTTGTACCAGAACAGAAGACTGCCCCGCTCTGGAGTCACCAGCAGGGGCAGGAAGGGAAAGGCAGTTCCACCGCCAGCCACCACATCGGAGAGCTGTAAAGGATTAATGATCTATAATATTGCTTAGGAACTGTTACGGATTCATTGGCTTACGTAGTAGATGGCCGTGGCCAGGCGATTGCCGTAGAGATCATCCTCGGGGTACTCGTGATGCTCGGGAAAGCTGTCCCAGTGCGGCTCGTAGTGGCCGCCGATGCCGTAGTTGGCGATCTGCAGGTTTTCGGCATAGTCCATGTCCAGGCCGGAGAGATCTGCCACGTGCTGGCTTAGCCGCTGGGTGGTCGCGTATTGCGAGTAGTTGAAGGAGGCGCCCTGGCTGGTGCGGAATGCCGCAGCAGTGGTTCCGGCGCCCGCCTGGTTGTACACGGTGGATCGCTGGATGCGAGGTCGGGCCGCGTTTTGGAGGAACAATGACTCCCGCTGGCTGACCATGTCGTGCACCTGCACAATGGGAGGATCTGCATGCAGCTCCTCCAGCTTGAAGGGAGCGTAGTCGAAGCGCCTCCTTTGCAGGCGGCAGCGAAGATGTCTCTGTGCGGTGGGGGAGGGAGTAAGTTCCCCGCGGCACACCTGCTCGTACATGCGGAACTCCCGGGAGCTGTGGTAGTCTCCTGGCCGGCGGGCAGTCGTGTGGAGGAGTCCCTGTTTCACCCCATCCGTGATGAGATCCTCCAGCTGCGTGCGGGTCTCCAATAGATGACGGCGCTCCTCTGGCTCAATCGCAAGGACGTGATTGATCAGATTGAGGGCGTTCTCGTGGTCGCCCATCTGCTGGTGATATCCAACCACTGCCTCCATGAAGTCCAGCGAGGCAGGCTCCTCTCCGTAGCTCTGCTCTCCCAGCAGCTGCATTGACTTCTGCAGCCACGGCACCGTGTGGTTGTAGTCTCTCAAAGCGTACAGGTGCTGTCCCAGTACGAAGCAGTCCTGCCAGGACATGGCAGTGCTGTAGGAGGCTCTCTGATTAGAGACCTCTTTGTGTGAGGGTTCCTTCAAATACTCACCCGTATTTGACTCCATTCAGCATTCCACTGGCCAGTTCTGCCACATCCAGTTGGTAGGTCTGCTGGAGTCGTGTCAGGGCTATGGCGGAACCCACGAAATCGTCCTGTGAGGGATAGCTTAGGTTCTCCTTCAGCACAGCCATGGCCTCGAGGTAGTCTTTGGGAAAAGGAACATCAGACATAGATCATGATACTATAGTAATAGCATATATAAAGATACTCACCGGCGCGACTCGTGTCCCCCTTCACACTACTCTCGAAGGTCTCCCAGTCGCTGTGCAGGCGCTTGATCAGCCGGAAGGCATTCACCGGGTTGTTGAGGTAGCCCCCAATGCTGTCCATGGCGCTCAGGTGCTCCACTCGTATGGCATCGATCTCGCTGTGGTCGGAGGTTAACAGATGTATAATTTATCAGAAAAGTAATTCCTTGTCACACCCAAAAAGCGTAAAGGGATTTGCATTCATTTCGATGAACAAACGACGACCAAGACCAAAAACTGTAGCACATGAGTTCTCCTATAATTTTGGTTTTTTATAACTTTGCTTAATTCTGATTAATGGTTGCAATCAGCTGGGGGTGCCGGGGCACCTGATTTGTATAATTAACGCATTTATTTCTACGCCTGTCGCCTGCATCGAGGTTCATTTGGGGATCGTTAAGAGTAAGAAACAAATCGTAACAAAATTCCCAGCTTAGAAGCGGGACAAACTCTCCACTATCTTCATTTCGTTAATGATTAATTAGCAGCACTTGTTGGCCATTAATCTGTTAATTATCCCCGAGACCGTCTCTTGAATATGATACTTCATTCTGTAGAGAGCCGCAGATTCAATTGAATCTTACAGAGATGCAAAATATAAGACCTGTTTAGGAATCATTGTTGCGTCAGGGCATTATAAATTATATACTTTACAATTTGTTAACGGTTTCTACTCGCCGACAATCCGGTTTCGAAAGTGCGCATGATAAACACAATATGGGAGAGAATATCCGTGCCCAATATACTTTCGAGACGATGATTGCACCATATTTTCTAGATGCTGAAAGTCGATGACACTCATTGCCAAACAACAAAGTTAACTTTCGGCAATTCCAGCTTCAGATCTAGCTGCGGATATCGCTCCTCTGTTAGCAGTCGATTGGCGGAGATAATGAAATGCAAATTTCCTAAATGCTATTGAAAACTTTACCGCTATTTGTGCTTTATATGGGCAATAAATAAGTCTTAACGCCGCTGAGAATAAATCAAGGCAGGAACCAGGAGAAATTAGCAGGCCATAAAATAAACTGCACTGCAGCGGAGCTTAGGGAATAAACAGATGACGGATCGGCGATCGTAGATCGGAGATCGACAAATCGTTGGGCCGTAAGCCTATTAACGCCCATTCGACATTCTCTTTTATGGCAACCGGTTGGTCCAGTGGCAATGGAATGCTAAGTTCTACAAGTGGTTGCAATTAAGTGCCAGGTTAAAGAAGGTACCATCTGCCAGAGAATCAACTATTTAATGATCTAGAGAATCTCTCCCACGCCTTGAACATTTGCTTTAATCAGACAGCAACCCACCATCGTTCGCTTTTAATGCATAATCAATGTGGGCTTCCACGAATATGACATGAAATATTCACAATCGGATGCTGAGGCAATTTTTACATGATTGTTCAACCAGACGGGCTTGCAATGGGAAAATGTATTCGACATTCGACAATCGACAAATTGGCAGATTGATTGGCTCTCGGCATTCCAATTTGATTGTGTGCGAGTGGGAATCCAATCTCATTTGCATATCATTAATAGGCCTAGGCATTCGCAGAAACCAGATTGGCCCGCAACCAAGGCCAACTTCCATAGAACTTTCCATTTTATTCTGGAGATAATCTCTCTGTTCAAAAGTTAGCTCATGGGACTGCTCTGACTCCCCCGTCCCGCTCACCTCTGTAGAGCCTCTGCATGCTGAGTGATTTCGTCTACGTAGTTTTGGAGTTCTTCCAGCAGCGCGACCTCCGTGCTGAAAAGCTGTTCCAGACCCGAGGTGGAGCTGTAGAACTCGGCGCGGCAGGCCAGCAGCTGGAGGACCAGCACCGGAACCAGGATCCACTTCGTCTGAAACATCTCTTTGGGAATCGATACGATACGTGAGCTACCGCTTGCTGTCCCAGCCGCGAATCGTTTGAAACTGTTCGGACTCTGGCGCGATCCGCGATCTTCTACCGAAAAAAGCTCGAGGCGTCCGGCGTCGGGTGTCTGCGACTACGTGAAGCTCGGGCGAGATCAAGCGAGTGTCGATCGAAGCTTTGGTCAAAGACCTGCCCTCGGGGGTAGACGTTCTGCCTGAATAGGCCACGTGAAGAGAGTACTCAAGAGGAGCATACATAGAGTTCAATAAACCCAGAACAGAACCCTTGTCGACTGGACTTCAGACTTTACTTGGCTCAAAACTTGCGGCATTTATTCTAGAAATCAATTCTTTAAGGCATCTCCATCTCCCAGACACCCCGCAATGGTTACAGCCAGAAGTTTACTTTGGTAATTACTTTCACTTTGCTGCTCGAAGCAGTTGTCACTTCACAAGCCCACAAAATATTCAAATACAAATCCCCCGCACCGAAACTTTGCCCGTGAACTTGTTTATGCAAATGAAGCCGGCTCATCCACCATCTCTCGACCGACATCGACATGTCTCGACACGTCTCGAGTTTGTTTTGAGTGGAAAGCCGCAAAACCCGCTCAAAGCTGTTCCTTAACCCACCAAGCACCTTTCGGGGCAGTTAGAGAGACACAGAAATGTTTTGGTAACTAGCTTTATTTGATAATCTCGTACTCCAACGACACCTCGTGATCCCGGAAAACGTCGCAGGGCCGCGCAAAGGTCTGTGTGGCTTCGTGTATCCAAACGTTGCCGACTGCAGGTGAGAAAAAATCAAGACAAATAATCAGGTTAATTGCTAAAGGTTAACTTTAATGTGAATTGACTTGAGAGTCGTTTAAATTGTGTGAGTCGGAACATTTTCTTACATTTTGTGTGCACTTTAAAAGGAAATAAAATGGTGTATTGAATTGAAAACTTGATGATTGGCCATAGAGTTGAAGAGGATTTCGAATTTTAAAGTAAGTTCAAAGTCTATTAAAGTCTATCGTGTATATGCTTGAACGCTTCATTTTACCAAAAACTATGTTTCAATCGACTCGGCCCTTGTGAGGGTCTTCTTTCAATTCCCCTTAGAATACTATATTTAAAAAATAAACTGACATCGCTAATCCCTATAAATGTACAGTACTTACTCCACTTGCTGCCCTTGAGGACCGGGCAGCCGGCGTGCTTGGTGCGATAGTCCACGTCGAGGGAGCGGTGCACGTTGTACCAGAAGAGGACGTTCCCCAGCTGCGGCTTCACCGCAAAGTTGAGGAAGGGAAACGCTGTGGCTCCGCCCTGCTCCACATCGGAGAGCTGCAGGGGATGGAACAGGGGCACGTCATAAATGTAAATGGGGGATTAGGTTGACTTGCTCTCACGTAAAAGATGGCGGTGGCCATGCGGTTGCCCTCTTCGGCGGGATAGTGGTCCGGGTCCCGGAAGAAGTCCCAGTGCGGCTCGTAGTGTCCGCCCACGCCGTAGTTGGCGACCTGCAGCTGCTCGCAGAAGGTCATGTCCAGGCCGGTGGCGTCGCTGAGGTCTGAGAGCATCCCACCCATCGTTGGGTGGGAGTCGTAGGCGAGCCAGGCGTTCTTGCTGACGCGGAAGGAAGATTTCTTGTTTTGGCCACCGGGCAGGGGATTCACCGTGGAGCGGTGCATCCGGGGCACGGCCATCAGCCGAAGGTCGGCGATTTTGCGCGGGCTGAGCATGTCGTGGTAGGTGACCACGAAGGGGTCCAGGCTGTGCTCCTCCAGCTTTAGGGGCGCCAGATGTCGATAGGGGTGGCTTCCCAGCGAGTAGCGACAGCGAAGGGGACGCTCCTGGCGGGGAGAAGGGCCCACCTCGCCACGGCACACCTTCTCGTAGTGGGCGAACTCCTGCGTGAGCTGGAGAACTAAAATTAGCTTCAAATTGGCAGAAAGGATGGGAATGGGGCCTGGGGCTTACACTGTAGGAATCTGAGTGCCTGGGCAGAGCCATGTCCTCCGCCTCCTCTGGGTTCGTCACCGCTCCCTTGTCGCCCAGATGCCAGTTCCGGATGCGCTTCGGATCGAATTGGAGAACCCGCTGGCTGAGCTCGTAAGCGGTGTCAAAGTCGCCTAAAAACTCGATTGGTCAATACATGCAAATAGCCAATCTCTAGATTTCCGCCTGCTGCTCACCCAGCTGGAACAAACTCTTGGCCACCGCCTCCATTCGATTGAGGGTTCCGCTGTCGGGGGTGGTTGCAGAGGCGGGACTGTGACGTCCCAGGCGCTCCATGGATTCGCGCAGCCACACCTTGGTGTTGTTGTAGTCCTCCATTTCAAAGAGTTGTTGACCCAGCACGAAGCAGTCCTGCCAGCTCATGTCGGAGCTAAAAAAGGATTCAAATAGATGATATACGAGCATATGAGCATATTTTAAGCCTCGCTGGTTATTGCTTATTGGAGCCTTCTCCCTCCATTACTCACCCATATTTTATGCCATTCAGTATGCCGGCGGCCACTTGGGCCACATCCAATTTGTAGGTGCTCTGCAGCCGGACCAGAGCCAAGGCAGCGCCATCCACGTCCTCTTGGCTGGGAAAACTCAGGCCATATCCCTGGGTAGCGTTGAAATCTGTAGGAGGAAAGCAGTTGTAGTAAGTATCTTCGCGGCCTTCGCTCTTATTTACCCATCTTATCAGCAATTTGCTGAACACGGGTCTCTAGATGCGGCCAGTCCGTGTGGAGGCGCTTCATCAGGCGGTACACATTCACCGGATTGGTCAGATAGTTTTCCGTATCCCTGGCGGCCACAACATGCTCCTGCTCGATGGCGAACACCTCGCTGGCGATGATAAACAGGACAGAATAAGGACAGGTTTCAGTTAAAGTTTAGGAGTACCAGTTTGCCAGTTTGTCAGTTTGTCAGTTTATGACTTGTGTCGTCACAAGCGCGAATTTAGCATACGAATATTCAGCCTTAATTAATTCTAATTTATGTCTGATTCTGCATTCATAATAGTTTTTACGATCGCAGCGATAGCCCACCGCGAGTCCGAACGAAAGCGAAATGCCAGCCACCAGCCACTAGCCGCCAGCTGCCTAGCCGTAAACCTGCTAACCAATTTTGTGATTATCCCCAAACTGTCACTAACTATCGCAAGTCTCTCACTAACTTACTAGCATGGCACTCTTCAAGTTCCTCGATCAAGTCAATTATTACAGAACTCAGACACAAAGTCTGCCGGTACCCACGTGGGCACGTGTCTCATTGAAAACTACTTCTCGCACAGGGCATAAAAACATTAATGGATTTTCGATCGTCAGGTTGTAATTAAATTAGCATTGTTCGAAAATCGTGATTTGACTAAAACTATACATAGTTTTCATAGTGGTTGATTCGACTATGCGTTATCCTCTAATAATTTCTAAACCGTTTTGAATAAGTTCTTGAAATAAAGTCTTTGCACGATACTCGTAGAATCCCTTAAGACATGATTCATATTGAGGTCAGTTTCCCAATGATATCGCCGATGCTGTATTCCATCTTCTTTAGATCCTTTCACTCACCTCTCCAATCGTTGCAGCGATGTCCTGACTGCATTTACAGTAGTCCTTAAATTTTTTATGAGAAAGTCTTCTGTTTGCAGCAGTTTCTCTAGTCCCGTGATCGATGAGAAGTAATCAGAGCCGCGACACAAATGCCCCAGACAGGACAACAGTCCTAGGAGTACCAAGAGCCTCCTCATCTCGTAACTGAATTGATTTACTCAGATATGTATATATACTATATATTCTATGTATCCTTTTTGTCTCTATGGGGTCGTCTGCGTGTATGTTCTGCTCTGCTGTTTTGGGCGTCCACCCCTGTTCGCGTCTCGCAGCTAACTGATCGTTTCAGCAGATCTTCGGCTCGGGACTGAGACATCCCAGAGACAGTCGGCGATGTCGTTTTGCACGGGTTTCGGGTACTTCGAGTCTCGATATCAAACTAGTTGGCTATGAATACTACTATTTGGAGAAAACTGTGTTATTAGCCTGTTTTGTGCATTCTGATGAAGAGCCTACACTGAGAAGAAGCCGTTGTGCTTTTGCTTCTTCTCTTCAGTGGAAGTGGACCGATCTATTTTAAAATTAAATGTTCATATTTCAAAAGCAGACATCTCTGTATCATTTATGCATACTCTCAATCAATGTTTCAGGATGGCATATTTTATTTACTTAGTGGTTTCTTTCGTTTTTCTCAGTGTATGGAGTTCTTGATGATCGGGCGTGTTTTATGGCTTGTTTTGTTCTGATTTACTGATGTTTATCGCATTAGCTCGTTTTCAATTCCGATTCCAATTCCGATTCAGATTCGGCTTTGTCTTCGGCTTGGATAGGATTTGGGTTTGACTTAGACCAGACCGAGCATATTAATTCGCACTAATTGGACGGGCGTCGTTTGATATTTAAGACTGCACTCCGACTGGCAGTAGTGCTGGGAAGTGCCCTCGTGGAAAGTGGCTTCGTTATGGCTTATTAACATATCATTTCCGATTGGGGCTGGCTGCCATCATATGTCATTTTAGTTTATGGATTCCCGACTGTGCATTGACGGGCCGTTGTTTTTGCTCATCGGCTCCGTCCGACATTTTGGAGCAATGAATCTTCAATGAAGTGTCAACATAACAGAGGTGAAGGGCATAGCGAAGATGTTAATACTCTAATCTAATTGCTATCAAATTTTTTAGCATTATGTATGATAAATTGCTCAAAAAGAGGTGTTGCAGCCAAATCCTATTACTATAATTATTCCTTGATTGAAACGAGGTGTCCGAAGGGTAAAGTTTTGTGGAGACTCGACTTTTAATGATCCCTGAGACGTATATTTTCTGTTCGTTGTCAATGGTAGTAAGTCTTTAGTAAGGGTATACAAATGCAAATCGAATCCCAAATAAACATCACTATTTATTTTGATTCGCAATCGCCTTTGATTTAATGCCTCCAAAGGTAGCCAACACCTGTTTGATGACCCGATGTTTGCCTTTGCTACTCGTATTTCCTCTTGCCAACAGACCAACCTCCGCTCAGTCGCAATTATGGGTCTCAGCCAAGCAGAAATGATGCCATTCCCAGCCACCCAGCGGCCCAGTCAGTTGTATTTGCCCTGTCCATTCACACGTCGACCATCGACCACTCCCTGGAGTGCGAGTGGAATGCAATAAAAAGCTGATATTCAATAAAATGTCAAGGCTGCCTTTATTTTATTCTCCCGGCGGCAATTAATACATATGTGAAGCCATGGAAACGGTTGGTTTCCCTGTCAACTGAGTCCCGTCCATGCGGCTGCAAGGGAAATTGAGATGAATAATCATGGCATGGGGTGTCATGACTGGGGTCAGCCAGTCAGAGATGAGCGCGTGGACTGGGATTTCAACCTCCCACCCACTCATCCCTGCTCGAGGATACTCACACACTTGGACACCCAGGAGCACGGGACAGACTGCCTGTCGACTGCGGTAGTCCATCTCAGAGGCGGACGAGGAAGTGGACGCGGACACGGACGTGGTGCGTGTGCGCCAATGGAGCAGCGCGCCACGTGGGACATTCACGCCAAGCTCCAGCTGGGGGAAGACCACGGCTCCGCCCATTCCGGGTGCCTGGAGCTGGAAGCGAAAGGCCAAAATCCAATTAGGGACACATTAATCAGTTAATTAGTACACACACATTCAGCATGACACGTGTCTGGTGGTACTGTCCCCGAACGGGCTCCTCTGGCTTGGTCGTGTGCTCGTGGCCATGGCGACGTCCCTCCCAGAGATCCTTTTCGCCTCTGACATGCCCGAGTTGATGGTGAATGCCTCTCAGCTTCTTTTGGGCCAGCATCGAGAACTTTAGTGGCTGATAACTGGCCCCTTTTCCCATCTCCTCCTCGTCCATCAATTCCAAGAGTTGATCGCTCTGCTTAAGGGTCAGCACATCATGGTGCAGGGCTATGTAGGGGTCGGAGCTGAGGAGCTCCACTCTGGCTGGCTGGAGCAAGGACCAGGGCGAGCTCCTCTCCAGTTGGCAGTGGGTGAAGCGACCTCCAGTCGTGGCCTCCTGGGTGGCTCCACGACAGAGTTCTTCTATGAGCAGCTGCTCCGCAGATTTGGGCTTAGGATTCTGAAAAAGGTATTTCAGTCATCTCTTTGCACAAAGATTCCATTGCCAGTGTCCCTCCTGAAATTCTATTTTCCACCTACTTTTGTCCTTGACTTTGGCGTTTGCCCACCCCTGCCCGAGGGCAACTGTGTGGTGGTCTTGGCCAGAGCTCGCTCAATCTTGTCCTTGGCCTTTTGCACATTTTGGTTCATCGGTCGGAGGAGCAGCAGCTCATCCGCGGTTGCCAGGGCCTGGGAAAGTTCTCCTGCGAAGAGAAGGGGGGGAAGAGAAAATTCTTTGAAAATTGGGCAAATTGCATTGAATCGGGGAAAGCCAACCCGCGCGGTATTCCATGTTGAGGGCCGCCTCCAGTATCTGAACCTTTCCGCGCTCCCACTCGCTTCGGTGGTCCGTGGCATTTGTGGCCGGCGGCAGCTTATCCAGAGCCGTCTCCAGCCAGAACTTGGCCACTCCGACATCCGACTTCATGGCCATTTCCAGGCAATCGCTCCAGGACATGGCTGAGCTATAAGTATGCAAACAATTTTTTATTGTTTTCCGTTTCCCACTTCCTGTATTCCTGCAATCCTGTAATCCTGTACAGTGTACACTCACCCCAACTTTATGCCTTTGACCACGCCCAGGGAGAGGCTTGCCGGCTCCAACTCGTAGACCGACTGCAGATGGAGGAGATTGCTTAGGGCCTGCTCGTAGTCCTCCTCTGTGGGGAGAACCAGCTCGCTGTCCCTGAGTCTGTCATCAATCACGCTGATATTGTGCGTGGAATTCGCCTGCTGCTCCAGTCTCGGCCAGACGGTCTCGAAGCGCTTCAGTATGGTCAGCACATTGAGCGGGTTTCCCATGTACTCCTCCACGCGATCCCCCACCTGGATGTGGATCGCCTCGATGGCCGCAGTCTCCCTCCTGATCTCCTCCAGCTGCTCGTCGAGGCGCTCTATATAGTCGCGGAGTTCATCAATGAGCAACGTTTCCGTGGCCAGCAGGGCCTCCAGCTGCTCCTCACTGTTGGAGGAGCAGCCAACCGTTGACCACAGAAGTAACACCTGGAGTACCCACAAAAATCCAACAACAGCTCCGGACATTTGCATAATTAGATGTCTCGCTGCCACTCTTTTTATTTCTTCTTCGGCTTTGTTCTCTTCTCTTTTTCGCTTCTCTCCGGTTTTTCGGGTCAATGACAGTAACAATGTTTCAGTATTTTTTTTTTTTAAGAATTTATGGTAGGTTCGAATTGAATGGAGAATCGTAGACTAGCGGGCTTGAAAGATGCTTCTGGACTGAGCCCAAGATTCGCTTCTTCCGAGTATAGATGCTCGTTTATCTGAAGAAAGTTGTGGTACAACTTTTTTTGTGCTCTTCGATGAATAGTTATTAACCTTTAAGCTTGACCTCCTCGTCATACAACCCGCAATCATAGATACAGAGAACTCAGTCCATAAATGGAAGTTTAGGCTGGAAAATGTTTCTTTGATATAACCAAATCGACTCATTGTTCATTCATTTAAAGTCTCATAATTGCTTAATTTTTTTTTTTAATGATTCAAAAAACTTAATAAATTGCGGTAATTTTTGTCTGACAATAAAATTTAAAGCTTTTTGAAATAAAAAATAGAATTTATTTTTGGTGAAAAATAATCATAGCCGGATATCCACTACTTGTTTTCAAGTTCGAGGAACTTTTCAGCATCGCTGGTCAGCGCGCAGGGTCTCCTGAACTCCTGGGCAGCCTCATGGAACCACTCATTGCATACTGGAAGGGAAGAGATGCTCACTGTAGTCACAAATCAAATCAAATCATCATTAGGCATTTGAAGAACGTACTCCACTTGGAGCCCTTGAGCACGGGACAGCCAGCGTGCTTGGTGCGGAAGTCCTTGTGGAGGGAACGATGGAGGTTATACCAGACCAGAAGACTACCCTTGACAGGCGGAACGGCCAGATGGAGGAAGGGAAAAGCAGTGGCCCCTCCCAAGGGGACATCGTTCAGCTACAGATTGAAATATGAATGTTATGAAAGTTGCTTGGGGAAGCAGAATCCCAACTCACGTAGAAAAGAGCTGTCAATAGGCGATTTCCTTTCCAGCCAAAGTTCTTTTCGGCGTCCTATGGAGAGCGGAAGAAGAATATAAGTAAATAAGTAATAAGTCAATGACAATACGTATGTACATCCATGAAGTCGAAGTGCGGCTCGTACTGCCCTCCAATTCCATAGTTCACCAGCTGCAGGGGCTCCGCAGTGTCTGTGCTCAGGCCGGTGATGTCCTCCAGTCGCTGCTTGATGTCCGCCAGCCAGGGATTGTTCTCGTACCACAACCACGTGTTCTGGCTGGTGCGGATCTCCGAGACGGTGGAGTTTCCAGTTTGGCCGATCTCCGAGCGCGTCACCTGCCCCTTGCCGTGTTCGATGATCTGCTCTGATTCCTTGTCGCTGAGCACATCGTGGAAATAGGCCACATAGGGGTCCCCGCTGAGCTGTTCCACCTTGAAGGGCGAGAGGCGCTGGTAGGGCACATCCTGGTGGCTCAACCAGCACCTGAGATACCGCTGCTCTTTAGGGGACTGCCGCAGTTCTCCTCGACACACGCGCTGGTAGAGCTCTTGGCTCTCCTTCAGCTCTGGCTCTGGCTCTGGAGCAGCCTCCTGCGGAGGATCTAGTTTCATCCTGGGACTACTACTGATGCTCCTCTCTCGTGCCAGCAGCGCCTCGTACACAATCTTGTTCTTCACGGCCTCCTCATGGCCAGGTTCCGCATCCAATATTTCGTTGTTCAGCTTGTGGGCCAGCTTCTTGTTGCCCAATTGGCTAAAGGCAGGGGAGAGCTGCTCCAGGATCTGCACCTTAGTGATCTTGGGAAGCACATATCCTGAAGGATCCCGAGGCAGTCTGGTCCTCGCTTCCAACAGCCACTCAGAGCCGTAAGAGTACTCCTTCATCTGGCAAAGATGCCGCCCGATCTCATAGCAGTCACTGGCACTGATTGACAAATTCATTTGGCGCTGTTCCTCGGGAGCCAAGATTCCCGTCGCCAGCTGCTTTGTGGGTAGTTTGTACATCTCCTGCAGGCGCCACAAGCCGCGAGTGGCGCCGAGCAGATCCTCCTTGGTCGGTTCCTGGATCTCAGCCTTTTTCAGCCCCGCGCTTACCGAAGTCTTGTAGTTATCCAAGTTACTCGTATCGAAGACCGGCTCGAAGACACTGTGCTTCCAGTCGTGGACGAGGCGTCTGATGGTGGTGAAGGCATTGATTGGGTTGCCAAAAAACGCCTCGATGTCCCCGTGCCGACTATGCAGCTGTTCCACATGTTGAAGAAACCTGAAAATCCATTCTTTTGTTAAAATTAATTTCACACCGTGAAATTCACGAGTGCTCTTTTCAACCTTTCGATGTTCTCCTGCTGCTGCTGGGCTTTTTCCAAGTAATCTTCGAACCGTTCCACCAGGAAGGCCTCTACATCCAGCAGCCGCTCCACTTCGCTGATGGCCGAATAGTAGTCCCCGCTAACCAGGCCCAGGCCCACACCCGCGAGGACTGTCCACAGAAACGCTCTGACTCGGGACATTCTCTCTGCTCTGTCTCTAGATCGTTACTGCTATCGGTGGAAGATTGGATTGGAGACAGACTGTCTGCCGCACACGCAGCAGCTCGGCAAACATTTACACAGTTGCGTTTTTCCCTTCTGAGGCCTCTGGATTGGGGACAAACACATCGTAGCATTCGTGTGGAAACCTACATTTAAAAACCTACATTTAACAAAGTTAGGAAGCCTATCAGTAGGTGATGGATATTGTTGGGTTAAGCAGCCCAATATTAGCGAAAAGGTTCAGTAGCTCAACAGATATCAAAGCGAGAAAAATGCATTTCCCGCTTGTTAGTAGTTTCTTTAAACTCTTAAACAAACGTTTAGTATACACGTAATTTTCAAAATGAGAAGATTGAAGTGCTTCCTGTGCTTGATCTACCTTTGGTTTCCCGGTGCGACCTTAAGGCAGCTAAACAAGAACTATGCCATGTCCATATACGATCTGGGAGAGCTACTGACCCACAATAAAGTGCTGGTCAACCACCTAGAGGCCTACGCGGATAAGTTGCAGCAGAGGGTGGACCTTATAGACAGGTGAGTGAAACTTCATGAGACTAAGCCTTTAACAGTTTTTCCATGGCCCTACAGTTATGTTGAGATCATGAAAGAGAAGATAGCTCGCGCACAAAGGATGGATCACGACCCTCCGTCTAGTTTTTCCTTCATGCGACACATGCAATTCGATTGGCCCAACATTCTGTGGTATCTGGAGCAGCAGCCTGGTGAAGGTCAGTGCTCCTCAACCCATCGAAGAACCTTTTCATAAGCGATGTTTTTCTACAGCTCAAGCTACAGGTATAAGCCTTCTTCACTCTGATTTACCGACTACCAAGGATTTGGAGGAAACCCTTAATGGGCTGTGGCGCATTCAGACCATTTACAATCTAAATGGCTCTGATATGGCCAAGGGACTCCTGATGGGAGTGCAGCACAAGTGAGTGGAAGAAATCATTCGAATAAGAATAGTAGTGCTCATTAATTTTCAGTTACTCCACCACCCCATTTGAGGGCTATACCATCGCCAAGTATTTGGCGAAATGGGGGGACTATGCCAAGGCAAAAGATTGGATCTCTGTGTCCCTGGATCTATACCAGGCGGATGAGGATTACTGGGATTTGTATGAACAGCAGGGACTGTCTGCGGAAAACCTGTATGAACTGTATGTTAAGGTTTTAAATAACTTGAGCGAGGACAAGGAAAGGCCTCTTTCCACGATGATTGAGGCATCCAAAGAACCACAACTTGAAGCGGGCTCTCACTAGGCTGGAAATGAGCTATCGCATTGGGGAAGAGCCCCAGGAACAGGTCAGTGGAGGAACCGCAAAGAAAAGCCAGTAATGCGGATTAATCTATCATTTAGGAGTCTGAAGACCAGGATGACTTCCTGGACTGCTGCTCTAGAGAGTGCCGCCGAGGATCCCGACTTTACTGCCTCTACATTACCACTGCAACAGCGTTCCTCCGCCTGGCACCCCTGAAAATGGAGCTGCTATCACTTGATCCCTACGTGGTGATCTACCATGATGTGCTTGCGGACAGGGAAATGTCTTTACTGAAGTTGATGGCACAGAAGGACTTGGTTCGAGCTTCAACCTACGATGTAACGGATAAAGAGCACTCAGAAGATCCAAACCGCACCACAAAAGCCCGTTGGCTGGACCCTAGCCATAGTCTAATACGAAGGATGGGCATATTGACAGAGGACATGACTAACCTGGATCTCGAAAGATCGGAGGACTTTCAGGTTCTCAACTACGGCATTGGCGGCCACGATGCTATCCACCCTGACTATTATGAAGTGAGGAATTGATACTTTAAACCAACAAAACCAACCTGATCGAATTTATTTTAGGGTTCTAATCCTGAACTCCCCGATCGCGTTGCCACATTATTGTTCTACGTGAGTAACCTGTTGTTCATCTTTGGGAAGAGTTTCTATGAATCTCTCTTTCATTTAGTTGAGTGATGTGCCTCTGGGGGGCGCCACAGTGTTTCCCTTACTCGACCTGTCGGTGTTTCCCAAGAAGGGAGCAGTCTTGATGTGGTACAACTTGGATCACAAGGGGCAAGGCATTGAAAAGACCGTTCACTCGGCCTGTCCCGTCGTTGTCGGCTCCAGATGGGGTAAAATCAGCCTTAAAACCGAAACGTGATTGATTTACTCATGCATTTCCTCCCAAACAGTGATGACCAAGTGGATAAATCAGCAACCCCAACTATTTCGACGGCCTTGCGTAAGAGAGTAGTGAATAAAGTCTTTCGTTGAACGGAAACCATGTCAGATTCATGACCAATCGATTTCCCTGTCTTAGCTTTATTTTCTTCTTAACTTCTTAACTTCAGTCAGTGGCATTCCAGAGATAATGTTAAGCAGAAGTCTTCTCTATCTGTCGATTTTGGTTGTTGTCTGGGATGGTGGCGCCCTGAAGCTGGAAGAGAGCGAAGTGGTGGATCAATTCTATTCCACTTCAATCGTTAGCATGGAGGATCTCCTGGAGTTCCATGCGGATTTGCTTTTCCAGCTGAACAGCTATATTGACGTTCTGAGAGCTAGGATGAAACTCATACGAAGGTGGGTCTAGGGTTCTGTTTTGTAAGCCCGGGTTTCATCCTCCCCTCCCTCTAGGATAGCAGATTACATGATGGAGCATGATCATATAGTCAACCTCGAGGACCATTCCCTAAACTACTTTCATCTCGTTCGGCACATGCACAAGGATTGGGCACACGTGCTGGAGTTGATGGAGCAGCCCTTGGGTAAGAGTCAGCTGCTGTTTCTAAAGGAGTCGCGGCCCCACTATCCCAGTGCCTGGGACTTGGAAGAAGGCTCCTTGGGTATTCACAGGATGCAGAAGACATATCAGCTGCAGCCCAAGGATATGGTCAGAGGCCTGCTCGATGGCGTTCATCATGGGTAGGTGCAGCCATAAAAAAAAGACCCTTTCCTCCTTCATTCGAGGTCCTTTGCAGGACACGCTTTTCAACCCTCGAGTGTTTCACCGTGGCTCGAGCAATATATAAGAAGCACAGATACCACGACGCGGTGACTTGGCTGGAAGAGACCCTTAGCCTATACGATCAGGCATCAGAGCAGACAAAAGAGAACTACCAGATACTTGGATTTGATGTCTCCCAAGCGAACAACCTGTACATCAAAGGCCTCATGCATCTAAGTGAGTTTTGCAATCAATTGACACAAATCTCTCCTAATGACAATCAGATCGCTATAAGGATGCTTTGAAAGCCATTGATCGGGATCCCAAACCCTACCTAAGGCGACTTCGCGATCGAGTAGAGATGCGGATGATGAGCACTATCGATCTTCCGCTAGAGAAGCCCAATCCTCCTCTGACTGGCTTACAGCTCTGCTGTCGTGGGGGCTGTCCGTATCGGGACATGCACCGCCTGACCTGTAGCTACAACACCACAGCCGCGCCCTTCCTCCGGCTGGCTCCCTTCAAGACGGAGCTTCTCTCACTCGCCCCCTACATGGTGCTCTACCACGACGTCATCACACCGCTGGAGTCGCTGACGCTGAAAAATCTATCCAAGCCCCACATGAAACGTCGGGCCATGACCTTCAACAAACAGAAGCTGAGGCCTTTAATCGATTCGGGACGTACCTCGAACTCTGTGTGGCTCACGTCCCACGAAAATGCGGTCATGGAGCGGTTAGAACGAAGAGTCGGAGTCATGACAAACTTCGAGATGGAGAACTCGGAGGTATACCAGCTGATCAACTACGGGATCGGAGGCCACTATAAACCCCACACCGACCACTTTGAGACCCCACAGGTGAAGTCCCGACCGTAACGGAATTGGACTCATTTCTGATCTATGATTTCCTCCTTAGGCTCTCGAGCATCGCGGAGGAGGAGACCGAATAGCCACCGTTCTTTTTTATGTATGTTAAATGTCGAGTTTTGATTGAAACCCACTCTAGTTGTCGTGTCCTGCAGCTCAGTGATGTTCCCCAAGGTGGTGCCACTCTCTTTCCACGTCTAAATATCTCTGTTCAACCACGACAAGGTGATGCTCTTCTCTGGTACAACCTCAACGATCGAGGACAGGGCGAAATAGGCACAGTCCATACTTCTTGTCCCATAATCAAGGGATCTAAGTGGGGTAAGTATATTCTCTTGAACGTATAATGAAACCCATATGAACTTTTCTCTCTGTTTCAGCCCTGGTCAAATGGATAGACGAGCTGTCGCAGCCGTTCCGCAGACCGTGTAATCGATAGTACTTCCTTTTATACCCATATCTAATACAGAATTCTGTTAGCCACGCTTCGCTTTGACACTATTCAACGCAGAATCGCACTCTTACATCAATCATGTGGTTTTCTCTGCGAGTAAGAATCGTTCTGACGGCTCTTTCCTACTCTTTTTGGGTGGAGGCAAACGATGGGAAGGGTTCTTATTCCAATTTGGGCATTAAAGGACTGATAGATGTGGATGAGAAGCTTCTAAGTCAAATGGTGGACTATAGCAGTGTGCTCCAGAAAAAGATCAGTTTGATGCGTCGGTAGGTGCCACATTGAAGTAGAAAGAATCCTGACCTTAGTCAATCCAATCTCAGTTACATTGCTTTGATGAGAGTGAAGCAAACGCATGCGGAACCCGACAGGGAGCAGTATATGGCCAATCCCCTCCAAAGCTATTCTCTGATCCACCACATGCACTTCGACTGGACGACTTGGCGTAGGCTCATGGAGCAGTCACTAGGCAGAGGTAGACTCCACAAACATACAAACGCTCTCCATTAATCAAGATCTCTTCCCTTTATTTAGAGCAAATCTCTGAAATCCGTGCACTAATGCCCCAAATTTCCAGAATTGAATATGGTACCGCCATGCAAGATCTCATCCACGAACCCATGGCAGCAGTTCAGTTCGAGTAAGTGCAAGAAATCGATAGAATTGAGCGAGGAAAGAGTCTTAACAGATCCATATTCAGTCCGGTGGAGGCCTTGGAGCTTGCTACCTTCGCATACGACAAGGAGCGCCCCGATCTCGCCGAGAAGTGGCTGAATGTGACACTATCCGGCTACCAGAAACTCAGTCCCAGCAAAAAGGAACTCTACAAAGTGCTGAGCGTGGTCAAAGAGAGTGAAGTGCAAAAGCTCTATAAAAAGGTAAAAAAAATTAACAAATTGTTTTGGATTTTTGAATTGTTAAAAAAGATGTTGTGGCTATATTACAAACTCTAAGTAATACATATGATGCTGTACTTCGCAATCAGCTCTGTAATCAGCGCAAGTTGCGACCAGGAAATGTCCCGCGTTGACGTTAGATAAATGCATGTCGCATACAAATACAAAATACAACATTTCAATGTAAATAAATATTGTATCATACCATTTCGAATCATCTCAATTATTCTTAGAAGAGTGACGAATTGATAGCCCCATGAACCCCTTAAGACTGTGAGTTTTCCCCCCAAAGCAGCAGCTTCCAGTCACACACCCAATATGATAAGAAGTACCATAATATTCTTCGTGGGAGTGCTCGCCGGCTTAGACAGCTTTTCGAATGCCCAGTCTAGGGAGCATCCCGCCAGGTCGATATACAAGCTGCGCGAGTATCTTGAACTTCAAGGAAATTTGGTTCTCAACCTGGAGTACTATGTGTACCACCTGGAAATAAAACTGCATAAAATCCAAGAGTGAGTAGAGCGAATGGGGAATTGGGGATTTCGAAATATTAATCCTCTAAAAATCCCCTAGAGCTCTGCTTGACATGGAGAAAGTGCATGCTCTTTTTGAGGAGGACAAAAGGGCCTTTGTGTCCAATCCCGTCAACAGTTTCTCGCTCATCCGACACATGCACTCTGACTGGATGAAGTGGCAGCTCTACCTATCGGGGGACCCAGGACAAGGTTAGTTTTGATCCCATACCGTAGTCGTATGGTTATGTGTTATGTATACTATTCAGAACAACTGGCGTACATGAGGGAAACCAGTGCGTATCTCCCGACCAAGGATGATATCGCAGACGCCCTTCTGGGTATGGAAAGAGTGAGGAGTGTGTATGGCCTGGAGCCCCAGGATATGGCGAGTGGCTTGCTCTCGGACGTGCAGTACGAGTAAGTGATCCGATGTTAAGCAACATCCTGGATGTACATATATTCGAGCTACTCGATCTCCACCAGCTCTAGTTTTTCCCCCCATGACTGTCGCTCGCTGGCGGAGTACAGCATCGGAATGAAGGACTACCCCACTGCAGAGCGATGGCTACAGGTGGCCATATCGCTGCTTCAGGACAGAAATGAGGATCCAGTTGTCCCTCTGAAAATCATTGATGTTACCCAAATTCTAGTAGAAAGCTACCGCGCCCAGCGTATGTAATGAGAGGTATCGCAAACCGGATATCGACTCTCATTTTCCCGCAGGAAATCCTTGGAGTGCTGGGCATATCCTGGAAGCTGCTCTGAAGCTGAGTCCTTTTGATGCTCGTCTGTTGAGGCTGAAGGAGCAAGTGAGCACAGACTTGATGTACGAGGTTCCGCTGAAACCCAGGCCAAAAGGAGTGCCCGATCAGGATCACTGCTGTAATGGGCTTTGTAAGGGGCCCAGGAACAGGCACCTCCACTGCTTCTACCTCACTAAACGAGGATCCCCCTTTCTGCTCTTGGCGAGGGTTAGGACTGAGATTCTCTCTGACGATCCCTTTATTGCGTTGTACTACGATGTATTGACCCACTCCGATATGGTGTCCCTGCGGAACACAAGCGAGCCGTTGCTACATCCAGCCACCACCATTCAATATTTTAACGCGCCGCAGGAGTTGTCTAACTCCCGTACAGCGCACTTCGTCTGGCTGGAGCCGACCATTACAGAGGCGACCCGAAGAGCAGATCGGGTGCTTTGGGATGTCACGGGTCTAAATCTTAGCAACTCTGAAATGTTCCAGGTCAATAACTATGGGATTGGAGGCTCGTTCATGCGCCACAGTGACCTTTTGCACTCCGTAAGCATATCCTTAGTCTCCATCTAATTGATATTCCCATTCGGTTGTCTAGGAAAGAAATTATCTAGTGAGAGAACGCATTGCCACGGCCATATTTTACGTAAGTGAATGATGGACGACGATTCCTTCCCTCTGCCTATTGTCGAGTCTATACGAGTACGAGTATGTCTGATCCCACAGCTAAGCGATGTGCCCCACGGCGGCGCCACCTTGTTCACAGAGCTGAATGTGACCGTATTCCCCCAGGCAGGAACTGTTCTTTTCTGGTACAACCTGGCCCATTCAGGAGATCACGATATGAGAACACGCCACACAGGTTGTCCCGTCATCGTGGGTTCCAAGTGGAGTAGGTTTTCCCTTAGACTGTTTTAGCGATATCTGCAAATAAGTATTACCTTGATTTGGTTCTTTTCCTGTTAGTGATGACTCGCTGGATATATGACGATGGTCAGGCGTTCACCAAGCCCTGCCACACGAAACTAAAAAGCCCCATGGTTATGGCCTAAGCGGAGATAATGTGCCAATAAATTGGATTACTCTACAAAAATTGTATGGCGTGAAATTTTTATTTTGTTTCCCATAGTCCGATTTCAGTTTGAAAATGGCTAGTTGTATAGGGACGATCGAATAATTTATGTTCCTGGAAAGAGATCTTCCATTCGACCTTCAACAATATATGGATTCACTCAGAGAAGCTCGAAGTGATCATACCCGAAGTACTTTACACCCAGCATATATATGTACAAATTTATGTATTTAATACAATGTATGTTATATGTCTTTTGGTATCGCTGTTCACAAAAGACACGATTTGATGTTTTGTCAAACAAAATGTCGTCAAATCGGTCGAGTCGTTAGGGAGATTTTAATATAATATCTTATCCGTTTCCATTTGTATGTACATGTGTATGTTACTTGTGTATGTACATATTCTTTATGGGGTCGGAAACGCTTCCTTCTGGGCGTTATACACACCCATTTTCACCACAAATCTAATATGCCCCTTTACTCTTCGAGTGCCGGATTTACAAAATTAAAGCTAACAAAGTTACGAAACCTATCAGTAGGTGATGGATATCAAGGCGATAAAAATGCATTTCCCGCTTGTTAGTAGTTTCTTTAAACTCATAAACAAACGTTTAGTATACACGTAATTTTCAAAATGAGAAGATTGAAGTGCTTCCTGTGCTTGATCTACCTTTGGTTTCCCGGTGCGACCTTAAGGCAGCTAAACAAGAACTATGCCATGTCCATATACGATCTGGGAGAGCTACTGACCCACAATAAAGTGCTGGTCAACCACCTAGAGGCCTACGCGGATAAGTTGCAGCAGAGGGTGGACCTTATAGACAGGTGAGTGAAACTTCATGAGACTAAGCCTTTAACAGTTTTTCCATGGCCCTACAGTTATGTTGAGATCATGAAAGAGAAGATAGCTCGCGCACAAAGGATGGATCACGACCCTCCGTCTAGTTTTTCCTTCATGCGACACATGCAATTCGATTGGCCCAACATTCTGTGGTATCTGGAGCAGCAGCCTGGTGAAGGTCAGTGCTCCTCAACCCATCGAAGAACCTTTTCATAAGCGATGTTTTTCTACAGCTCAAGCTACAGGTATAAGCCTTCTTCACTCTGATTTACCGACTACCAAGGATTTGGAGGAAACCCTTAATGGGCTGTGGCGCATTCAGACCATTTACAATCTAAATGGCTCTGATATGGCCAAGGGACTCCTGATGGGAGTGCAGCACAAGTGAGTGGAAGAAATCATTCGAATAAGAATAGTAGTGCTCATTAATTTTCAGTTACTCCACCACCCCATTTGAGCGCTATACCATCGCCAAGTATTTGGCGAAATGGGGGGACTATGCCAAGGCAAAAGATTGGATCTCTGTGTCCCTGGATCTATACCAGGCGGATGAGGATTACTGGGATTTGTATGAACAGCAGGGACTGTCTGCGGAAAACCTGTATGAACTGTATGTTGAGGTTTTAAATAACTTGAGCGAGGACAAGGAAAGGCCTCTTTCCACGATGATTGAAACCCTAAATAGGCATCCAAAGAACCACAACTTGAAGCGGGCTCTCACTAGGCTGGAAATGAGCCATCGCATTGGGGAAGAGCCCCAGGAACAGGTCAGTGGAGGAATCGCAAAGAAAAGCCAGTAATGCGGATTAATCTATCATTTAGGAGTCTGAAGACCAGGATGACTTCCTGGACTGCTGCTCTAGAGAGTGCCGCCGAGGATCCCGACTTTACTGCCTTTACAATACCACTGCAACAGCGTTCCTCCGCCTGGCACCCCTGAAAATGGAGCTGTTATCACTTGATCCCTACGTGGTGCTCTACCATGATGTGCTTGCGGATAGGGAAATGTCTTTACTGAAGTTGATGGCACAGAGGGACTTGGTTCGGGCCGTAACCTACAATGCAACGGAGAAGAAACACTCTGAAGATCCAAACCGCACCACAAAAGCCGGTTGGCTGGACCCTAGCCATAATCTAATACGAAGGATGGGCATATTGACAGAGGACATGTCTAACTTGGATCTCGAAAGATCGGAGGACTTTCAGGTTCTCAACTACGGCATTGGCGGCCACTATGCCGTCCACCCCGACTTCTTTGAGGTAAGACCTTAATACTTTAAACCAACAAAACCAACCTGATCGAATTTATTTTAGGGTTCTAATCCTGAACTCCCCGATCGGGTTGCCACATTATTGTTCTACGTGAGTAACCTTTTGTTCATCTTTGGGAAGAGTTTCTATGAATCTCTCTTTCATTTAGTTGAGTGATGTGCCTCTGGGGGGCGCCACAGTGTTTCCCTTACTCGACCTGTCGGTGTTTCCCAAGAAGGGAGCAGTCTTGATGTGGTACAACTTGGATCACAAGGGGCAAGGCATGGAAAAGACCATTCACTCGGCCTGTCCCGTCGTTGTCGGCTCCAGATGGGGTAAAATTAACCTCAAAAGAGAAACAAGATTGATTCAACAATGTATTTCTTTCCAAACAGTGATGACCAAGTGGATAAATCAGCAACCCCAACTATTTCGACGGCCTTGCCTAAGAGAGTAGTGAATAAAGTCTTTCGTTGAACAGAAACCATGTCAGATTCATGACCAATCGATTTCCCTGTCTTAGCTTTATTTTCTTCTTAACTTCTTAACTTCAGTCAGTGGCATTCCAGAGATAATGTTGAGCAGAAGTCTTCTCTATCTGTCGATTTTGGTTGTTGTCCGGGATGGTGGCGCCTTGGAGCTGGAAGAGAGCGAAGTGGTGGATCAATTCTATTCCACTTCAATCGTTAGCATGGAGGATCTCCTGGAGTTCCATGCGGATTTGCTTTTCCAGCTGAACAGCTATATTGACGTTCTGAGAGCTAGGATGAAACTCATACGAAGGTGGGTCTAGGGTTCTGTTTTGTAAGCCCGGGTTTCATCCTCCCCTCCCTCTAGGATAGCAGATTACATGATGGAGCATGATCATATAGTCAACCTCGAGGACCATTCCCTAATCTACTTTCATCTCGTTCGGCACATGCACAAGGATTGGGCACACGTGCTGGAGTTGATGGAGCAGCCCTTGGGTAAGAGTCAGCTGCTGTTTCTAAAGGAGTCGCGGCCCCACTATCCCAGTGCCTGGGACTTGGAAGAAGGCTCCTTGGGTATTCACAGGATGCAGAAGACCTATCAGCTGCAGCCCAAGGATATGGTCAGAGGCCTGCTCGATGGCGTTCATCATGGGTAGGTGCAGCCATAAAAAAAAGACCCTTTCCTCCTTCATTCGAGGTCCTTTGCAGGACACGCTTTTCAACCCTCGAGTGTTTCACCGTGGCTCGAGCAATATATAAGAAGCACAGATATCACGACGCGGTGACTTGGCTGGAAGAGACCCTTAGCCTATACGATCAGGCATCAGAGCAGACAAAAGAGAACTACCAGATACTTGGATTTGATGTCTCCCAAGCGAACAACCTGTACATCAAAGGCCTCATGCATCTAAGTGAGTTTTGCAATCAATTGACACAAATCTCTCCTAATGACAATCAGATCGCTATAAGGATGCTTTGAAAGCCATTGATCGGGATCCCAAACCCTACCTACGGCGACTTCGCGATCGAGTAGAGATGCGGATGATGAGCACTATCGATCTTCCGCTAGAGAAGCCCAATCCTCCTCTGACTGGCTTACAGCTCTGCTGTCGTGGGGGCTGTCCGTATCGGGACATGCACCGCCTGACCTGTAGCTACAACACCACAGCCGCGCCCTTCCTCCGGCTGGCTCCCTTCAAGACGGAGCTTCTCTCACTCTCCCCCTACATGGTGCTCTACCACGACGTCATCACACCGCTGGAGTCGCTGACGCTGAAAAATCTATCCAAGCCCCTCATGAAACGTCGGGCCATGGTCATGGTCAACAATCTGAAGGTGAGGCCTTTTATTGACTCGGGACGTACCTCGAACTCTGTGTGGCTCACGTCCCACGAAAATGCGGTCATGGAGCGGTTAGAACGAAGAGTCGGAGTCATGACAAACTTCGAGATGGAGAACTCGGAGGTATACCAGCTGATCAACTACGGGATCGGAGGCCACTATAAACCCCACACCGACCACTTTGAGACCCCACAGGTGAAGTCCCGACCGTAACGGAATTGGACTCATTTCTGATCTATGATTTCCTCCTTAGGCTCTCGAGCATCGCGGAGGAGGAGACCGAATAGCCACCGTTCTTTTTTATGTATGTTAAATGTCGAGTTTTGATTGAAAACCACTCTAGTTGTCGTGTCCTGCAGCTCAGTGATGTTCCCCAAGGTGGTGCCACTCTCTTTCCACGTCTAAATATCTCCGTTCAACCACGACAAGGTGATGCTCTTCTCTGGTACAACCTCAACGATCGAGGACAGGGCGAAATAGGCACAGTCCATACTTCTTGTCCCATAATCAAGGGATCTAAGTGGGGTAAGTATATTCTCTTGAACGTATAATGAAACCCATATGAACTTTTCTCTCTGTTTCAGCCCTGGTCAAATGGATAGACGAGCTGTCGCAGCCGTTCCGCAGACCGTGTAATCGATAGTACTTCCTTTTATACCCATATCTAATACAGAATTCTGTTAGCCACGCTTCGCTTTGACACTATTCATCGCAGAATCGCACTCTTACATCAATCATGTGGTTTTCTCTGCGAGTAAGAATCGTTCTGACGGCTCTTTCCTACTCTTTTTGGGTGGAGGCAAACGATGGGAAGGGTTCTTATTCCAATTTGGGCATTAAAGGACTGATAGATGTGGATGAGAAGCTTCTAAGTCAAATGGTGGACTATAGCAGTGTGCTCCAGAAAAAGATCAGTTTGATGCGTCGGTAGGTGCCACATTGAAGTAGAAAGAATCCTGACCTTAGTCAATCCAATCTCAGTTACATTGCTTTGATGAGAGTGAAGCAAACGCATGCGGAACCCGACAGGGAGCAGTATATGGCCAATCCCCTCCAAAGCTATTCTCTGATCCACCACATGCACTTCGACTGGACGACTTGGCGTAGGCTCATGGAGCAGTCACTAGGCAGAGGTAGACTCCACAAACATACAAACACTCTCCATTAATCAAGATCTCTTCCCTTTATTTAGAGCAAATCTCTGAAATCCGTGCACTAATGCCCCAAATTTCCAGAATTGAATATGGTACCGCCATGCAAGATCTCATCCACGAACCCATGGCAGCAGTTCAGTTCGAGTAAGTGCAAGAAATCGATAGAATTGAGCGAGGAAAGAGTCTTAACAGATCCATATTCAGTCCGGTGGAGGCCTTGGAGCTTGCTACCTTCGCATACGACAAGGAGCGCCCCGATCTCGCCGAGAAGTGGCTGAATGTGACACTATCCGGCTACCAGAAACTCAGTCCCAGCAAAAAGGAACTCTACAAAGTGCTGAGCGTGGTCAAAGAGAGTGAAGTGCAAAAGCTCTATAAAAAGGTAAAAAAAATTAACAAATTGTTTTGGATTTTTGAATTGTTAAAAAAGATGTTGTGGCTATATTACAAACTCTAAGTAATACATATGATGCTGTACTTCGCAATCAGCTCTGTAATCAGCGCAAGTTGCGACCAGGAAATGTCCCGCGTTGACGTTAGATAAATGCATGTCGCATACAAATACAAAATACAACATTTCAATGTAAATAAATATTGTATCATACCATTTCGAATCATCTCAATTATTCTTAGAAGAGTGACGAATTGATAGCCCCATGAACCCCTTAAGACTGTGAGTTTTCCCCCCAAAGCAGCAGCTTCCAGTCACACACCCAATATGATAAGAAGTACCATAATATTCTTCGTGGGAGTGCTCGCCGGCTTAGACAGCTTTTCGAATGCCCAGTCTAGGGAGCATCCCGCCAGGTCGATATACAAGCTGCGCGAGTATCTTGAACTTCAAGGAAATTTGGTTCTCAACCTGGAGTACTATGTGTACCACCTGGAAATAAAACTGCATAAAATCCAAGAGTGAGTAGAGCGAATGGGGAATTGGGGATTTCGAAATATTAATCCTCTAAAAATCCCCTAGAGCTCTGCTTGACATGGAGAAAGTGCATGCTCTTTTTGAGGAGGACAAAAGGGCCTTTGTGTCCAATCCCGTCAACAGTTTCTCGCTCATCCGACACATGCACTCTGACTGGATGAAGTGGCAGCTCTACCTATCGGGGGACCCAGGACAAGGTTAGTTTTGATCCCATACCGTAGTCGTATGGTTATGTGTTATGTATACTATTCAGAACAACTGGCGTACATGAGGGAAACCAGTGCGTATCTCCCGACCAAGGATGATATCGCAGACGCCCTTCTGGGTATGGAAAGAGTGAGGAGTGTGTATGGCCTGGAGCCCCAGGATATGGCGAGTGGCTTGCTCTCGGACGTGCAGTACGAGTAAGTGATCCGATGTTAAGCAACATCCTGGATGTACATATATTCGAGCTACTCGATCTCCACCAGCTCTAGTTTTTCCCCCCATGACTGTCGCTCGCTGGCGGAGTACAGCATCGGAATGAAGGACTACCCCACTGCAGAGCGATGGCTACAGGTGGCCATATCGCTGCTTCAGGACAGAAATGAGGATCCAGTTGTCCCTCTGAAAATCATTGATGTTACCCAAACTCTAGTAGAAAGCTACCGCGCCCAGCGTATGTAAATCCGCAGGAAATCCTTGGAGTGCTGGGCATATCCTGGAAGCTGCTCTGAAGCTGAGTCCTTTTGATGCTCGTCTGTTGAGGCTGAAGGAGCAAGTGAGCACAGACTTGATGTACGAGGTTCCGCTGAAACCCAGGCCAAAAGGAGTGCCCGATCAGGATCACTGCTGTAATGGGCTTTGTAAGGGGCCCAGGAACAGGCACCTCCACTGCTTCTACCTCACTAAACGAGGATCCCCCTTTCTGCTCTTGGCGAGGGTTAGGACTGAGATTCTCTCTGACGATCCCTTTATTGCGTTGTACTACGATGTATTGACCCACTCCGATATGGTGTCCCTGCGGAACACAAGCGAGCCGTTGCTACATCCAGCCACCACCATTCAATATTTTAACGCGCCGCAGGAGTTGTCTAACTCCCGTACAGCGCACTTCGTCTGGCTGGAGCCGACCATTACAGAGGCGACCCGAAGAGCAGATCGGGTGCTTTGGGATGTCACGGGTCTAAATCTTAGCAACTCTGAAATGTTCCAGGTCAATAACTATGGGATTGGAGGCTCGTTCATGCGCCACAGTGACCTTTTGCACTCCGTAAGCATATCCTTAGTCTCCATCTAATTGATATTCCCATTCGGTTGTCTAGGAAAGAAATTATCTAGTGAGAGAACGCATTGCCACGGCCATATTTTACGTAAGTGAATGATGGACGACGATTCCTTCCCTCTGCCTATTGTCGAGTCTATACGAGTACGAGAATGTCTGATCCCACAGCTAAGCGATGTGCCCCAGGGCGGCGCCACCTTGTTCACAGAGCTGAATGTGACCGTATTCCCCCAGGCAGGAACTGTTCTTTTCTGGTACAACCTGGCCCATTCAGGAGATCACGATATGAGAACACGCCACACAGGTTGTCCCGTCATCGTGGGTTCCAAGTGGAGTAGGTTTTCCCTTAGACTGTTTTAGCGATATCTGCAAATAAGTATTACCTTGATTTGGTTCTTTTCCTGTTAGTGATGACCCGCTGGATATATGACGATGGTCAGGCGTTCGAAACTAAAAAGCCCCATGGTTATGGCCTAAGCGGAGATAATGTGCCAATAAATTGGATTACTCTACAAAATGTTCCTAAATTTCCAGCCATATCCTCTAATAGAATTTTTAGCCCCGTAGGGGCATTAACCATATGATGCTCTTGGCGAGTCCCGACAACATCTTCTGCTGGAGGAGCCAGTGAGAAAGGATACGTAAGATCTTTCTCTTAGAATGAGAAAAACAGTGCCTGCTTTCGGTGCAACTCTCTTACCTTGAGACCATATAGGAGCTCCTGCCCCAGTCCATCTCAAGCAAACACATAAAAGGAATAATGTGTATACCTATGGTGCCTCCACAGGATAATTCTCACTCTTCGGACCACCGACCATAGCATCCCCGAGTCGACAAAAGACAAAACCTACTGAAAATACAACAAGCCTCATTCTCTATTAAGGAACGAGAATGGTACCTATGAGGAAGTATGTATGTCTACCATATAAAACTCTAAAGATAATCATAGCTTAATAACCAGTTTATATCTTATTACGAAGAAAGTGTCTATCTTCTGATTTGATACGATTCGTGGATTCGATTCTCTCTCTACTTGACATTAGTTATTGTCTACGCCAAAACCAGTTGCCGGCTCGTTGAACCCCGCGCTTTCTTTGAGTGCGTGCCAAAACAGGTTTCGAATCAGAAGCAGAACCTCTGACATCTCTGGAATTATGTAATATTCAGTCGCTATTCAGTGCGGGGTCAAGTGGTAGATTCAGTCGGCATCTAATCGCTTCGGGATGATGTTACCCCTGCTGTTGGTGGGCGCCCTGTGGCAGGGCCTTTTCCTTGCCTGTGAAGCCGAGTTCTACTCCTCCGTGCACACGATGACCAAGGTATTTGGTTACGAGCAGAAAATGCTGCAGCACATGCAGAAGTTCGTTGCCGATAATCAGAGCAAATTGGATTTCCTGAGAGCGTAAGTGCTAGCGAGGGGCGTGGCAAATCAAGCGTGACTCACGACTAATTGAATCTCGGAAAACTCAATCTGCACCGACAGGCGGCTGCGAGAGTTCGAGCAGGAGCGCACCGAGGCGCAACACTGGGGCACGGCATACTTCGAGAGTCCGCTGAACCAATATTTGCTCAGCAAACGACTGACGGTGGACTGGCGGCGGGTGCAGAACCTCATGTATGCCGACACGGGCGAGAGTGGGTGAAGCATCAATTTAGCGGCTCGAACTCTATTAAAGACACACTTCTTCCTAACCAGAGCCCTTGGAGCGGCTGCTGAAGCTACGACAGCGTCCCTCCATGCCCGATGCCAGCGAACTGGAGGGCGCCATCGATGGCCTGCTCCGGCTGCAGTACGTCTACAGGCTGGAGGCCAAGCACCTGGCCAAAGGCATCTTGGATGGAGTGAACCATGGGTGAGACAGTGGATATTGATCCAATCGACCTTTGCTGCATTGTTTCTTTGTTTTTTTAGCACACAGCTGAACTCCGAGCACTGCGTGGACATTGCCCGATTGGCATTGAGGGATCAGCATCCGCGACTCGCGCACGCCTGGCTGTTGGAGGCGAAAGATCGCGTGTTCCAGGACCCAAAACTCCAGCCGCAAATTCTGGCTCTGCTCGTGCAGGCCAAGGCGGAGTTGGCCGACTTCCGGGGAGTGAATGACACCTACCAGGAGCTCTTGAGGATCCATCCAGCCAGCGAGGAGCATGCCAGAAACTACGAGGAATTCATGCGGAACCATGCAGTGAAAGCTGGCTTGTATGAATCCAAAACCATAGAAGAGCATGCCGTAAGTGAGAAGAGTTCGCTTACAAGTGGTGATTCCAACTTCCCATATCTTTCTCAGCCCATACCCGAGGATCCCTCGAAGCTGGACGAGTTCGAGGCCTACCGTTTGACGTGCAGCGGCCACAGCAGGCTCACAGCCCGAGAGCAACGGCATTTGCGTTGCGGGTACATGACCGAGACCCATCCCTTCCTCTTGTTGGCGCCCCTCAAGGCGGAGGAGTTGAGCCACGACCCCCTGCTAGTGCTCTACCATGACGTGATCTACCAGAGCGAGATCGACGTCATCAGGCAGCTGACAACCAACAGGATGGCCCGCGCAATGGTCACACTCACCAACCAGTCGACGGTGTCCAATGTGCGCACCAGCCAGATAACCTTCATCGCCAAAACAGAGCACGAGGTGCTGCAGACCATTGACCGCCGAGTGGCAGACATGACCAACCTGAACATGGACTATGCGGAGGATCATCAGTTCGCCAACTATGGCATCGGTGGTCACTACGGCCAGCACATGGACTGGTTTACCGAGACTACCGTAGGTTACTGGATTGGTCTTAGATAGAGATTTACTACAATGTGACACTCTCTCTCTCTCTCCCTCTGCCACGCAGTTCGATAATGGTTTGGTCTCCTCCACCGAGATGGGCAACCGCATTGCAACGGTCCTCTTCTACGTAAGTAGAGAAAGTAAGTCTTCGAGTGGACTTTTCACGTAGAACATCTCCTTGAACAGCTCTCGGATGTGGCTCAGGGCGGCGGCACTGCCTTTCCCTATCTGAAGCAGCACCTGCGTCCCAAGAAATATGCAGGTACTTAACAAGTTCATTTATTCACTTCAAACACCCCTAATAACTCAAACACTTCCGTCTCGATAGCCGCCTTCTGGCATAATCTGCATGCAGCGGGCAGAGGTGATGCCCGCACGCAGCACGGTGCCTGCCCCATCATCGCTGGATCTAAATGGGGTAAGATCTCTGGAAAGAGTTCTCTATGTTCTATACTCTATATTCTATATATGTGCTTTCCAGTCCTAAATCGCTGGATTCGGGAGTTTGTGCAGTCGGATCGACGTCCCTGTCTGCTGTGGGATGACTCTCTTGCCACTTATGCTCAGATTATGGAGCTGGCTAAAAACCAGGAGACGAAGAAGGAAGCATCGAGCTGAGGGCCACTCCAACCACCAAGTCAAGCTTTAAGGAATGAGAGTCTAGTTTATTCGAAATTTATAGGGAAATAAAGATATTAATAAGTGATGAAGTGACCATTTTTTATGCTGCTTTGGAAAACGATTGAATGTATAAGTGCTCATTGGTTGATAGATAAATATGTTACTCGTACAGCCTCACCCTATTCCTCCCATAAATAAAAGAGCAGTGATTGCCTGAGGTCCCTCCAGAAGCGGGGAACCCCTTTCCAAGTTCTTTATTTCATTTCTCATACATTTCATTCTCCGCTTACAATTGTCCAACTTTTTTTTTGTTTAGGTCTAACCAACATTAATAATTTGCTAGTAGCTGGAATTCCCCGATGGAATTCTCCTCTAAAGGAGAAGGAGGGGAATCCGTATCCTGCCTTTGGCATGCAGCTTCTTCTACGAATCGGGTCTGGTCCATCCGGGTCCATCATAGGTTCTATCCGCAATATGTGTGTATTTGAATAAATTCAATAAGTATGTCTTAAAACAAACATCCATATGTGTGTATTTGTAGATATACGAGTATGTAATGCCTTTGATTCCGGCAACAACATTTAGTAATTACGTGTGGTTTCTTATCTGCTCTTTGGCATAATAGTAATAGTAGAATATAATATGACAGTAATTCTTGTTGTCTTTTTCTGGGGATCTGGGGCTTGTATATGCGTACGAGTATAAGTTGAAAAGTTCACCGCTCTATCCGTCAAAACATTTATATAAATTTCTCTTATTCTTTTTTTGTAGTTTTCTTACATATCTCTTGATATATCGTTTTGTTTTTCTTCTAGTAAATAAAATAGTTTGTCAGTTGTGGAGTTTTGCTGCAATTCAAGTTGCAATTGAAAGGACACCGAGTGAAAGTTCTTTTGACTATGCAAATGATTCATGTTTCATGTTTCTTGTTTCTTTTTTCTTGTGTATAAAGATTAAATTCGCTTTATTATATATGTATGTGTTTTCCATTTTTAATGTGTGTGTGTATTTGCATGTGTTTGAGTGTGTTTGTGTGTGTGTAATGGACCGAACTCGTTTCCGGTTCCGCTTTCGCGTTGTGGTGGGTGTCTCTGTTCACTAGTTTTAGTTTTAGTTTCAGTTTAAGTTTAGTCATAGTTTAATTTTCAGTATGTCTTGCCAAGGGATTGTCTTTGGGGGCACATGGTACACATTCACATTCAACATCGATATACAAATACACGGTTTCACATAAATATAGGTATATATATATGTCTGTATATATTGTGTATATAGTAAACAGCATCTGTATATGGTATATTCATCGTTAAAATTTTACTATCGTTAAAGTTTAACTTAAAATTGTTGCCGCACACGCTATGCCTCCTCTTTTCTCGTTTCCCGTTTATCGATTATCGTTTCTCATTTATCAATTATCGTTTATTGAAATTACAGTTTCTTCGCATAAATATATATTACCATTTTTCTATATCTTTTGTACACCTATATAAAGAGTATCGTATCTATAATAGAGAGAGTATCTGTGCTCTGTAGTATGTATGTTTGCAACGCATTAACTTCACATCGATAATAAGTTTGTTTTGTTTTCTTTTGTTTTGTTCTTGTTGAATATTTTGATATAATTGCATTAACGTTTATGGAATAATTTGCTTTCCGCACTCTGCTGGACGATCATCTTGCCGATCCTTTGCTTTGATATATGCTTGTATATATGTTTAAATTGAAACTCCCATCGGCCACAAGCCGGCCTCTAAACAATCCCATCCTACACCTCACCCCCATCGCCTCTTTGCTCTTTGCTGTTTAGATCTCGTAGTTGCGGAACTTGTTGGCCACATCCGTGTTCTCGGCCCCCCACTCGGTCTTCCGTCCGCCGTAGTAGAGTGCGGCCCCGCCCTCAGAGGCACGGCGATGGGCCGGATTGGGGGAGGCTGCGGTCAGCCCGCCGCTGCTGCACCCAGCCCCGGCTCCAGCTCCAGCTCCCGGTCCGATTCCAGCTCCATCTGCGGTCTCCGGCAACATGCGATCCTTGGTCTTCGGGGTGACCCAATGCATCGACTTTGATTTCGATTGGAATTGTTCGGGGTCATTCGGGAGAGGATGAAAATTGACATTAATTGAGAATTCTGTGGTTTGGTAGGAGGGCCAATGACTGGCATGCACTCCTTGGGGCATGCACAAAACACACGCACACATAGACACACATAGTTGGATGAAGAGGCACATTCAAGATAGGTAGACATTCGGTGGGGCACTCAGGAGCAGGGCGAGAGAGAGAGAGAGAGAAATATACTATGTACAGGGGGGGTTTGGGGGTGTATAATTTTGTTTACACTAAAACTTGAGTTAAATTGGATTTGCAAACGAGGATATTTTCCCACTCCACGGGACTCCAGGGGACAGTGTCCGCCGCTGATGGATGCGCGACAATTTCCGCTCTGCCCGGCAGCGGAAATTGCCTTGGGGGCAGCAGAGGGGGTGTAGGCTTGGACGTGGGCGAGTGGGGGTCGGTTGAATAATCACGTTAATTGTGGCGCAACAAAAAAGCGACTCCAGCTTGGATTACAAATTTCATTAGCTGCCTGGGAAACAACAAACAACTGGGGAACAGCCGAAACAAGGTCAGGTGTTGACGCAGTGCAGCGGGGATGCTAAAGGACAAAGGAGTCGGATAATAAGTAAGCGGGCACTCGGCTTGCGCCTTTGTGCCGCAAAGAGTGGGGGAGTGAGTGCTGTGCTACGGAGGGGAGAGAGAGCGACAGAGTGAGAGTGAGAGAGAGAGAGAGAGAGAGAGGTAGAGGTGACTACTCCTCCGCCGGGTTTCTCGTACTGTCTGCTGTTCCTGGCCCATACGCATACCTCTTTATCCACTTTCTCGGCAATCGTGTATCTTCTCACCTGACCGACATGCTCCTTCATGCCCAGCCACTGCTTGTAGCTCATCGAGATGCCGCTGTTGCGCCACTTGTCGTACACGGTCCGCTTCTCCGGATCGCAAAGGGTCTCCTTGGCCTCCTGCGAAGAATTGAAGAAAAACACAGGCATACGTAAATGAAATAGAAGTGGCACAGAACTCAGAATACCATTGATATAGCGCATAAATTGGATAGAGGCAGGTGTGAATGTCGTTGCTACCTATATAAATATATAAGCAGTTTTGGTTGTATTTCATCTTAACTTCAGTTCCAGTAAAGTTTTGGCCGTATTGCTGGGATTCTTATCGATTTGGGTGCTTCCTTTGATCTTCGATTCTGTTTCATGGAATTCAAAAAATAATTGGCCCTAAAATGTTGCATTTTTTCTTGAATTCATTTCCATTTTACACAACAGAATGTGTGAAGGGGTAAACCCATTTACTTGCCGTCCGATAGGCCTTCTGTGCCGGGGAGGCGGGAGGAGGGCCCACACATAATAGTATTGGCCCCGCAACGCACCGCCCCGCCGTGTGGCCTCATGAAAGTCAGATTTGCTCAAGTGCAAAATCAACAGCTGCAGAGATTTCGGATGCCTTTCCTTAGCATGTTAATCAATTTCATAAGCCAGGATACGGCTTTGAGGACGGGTCTATGGCACACTTATTGGCATGTCCGTGATTCACACACACCATACCACACAGGGGCAGGGGCAGGGGCTCTATCTAGCCCTCACATATTTGCACGCTCAAGTGGCTTTGATAGCTCTGCTTGGGCTGGATTTATATCTCGACTACTTTTACGTCCAGGCCCAACACCAACACCAACACCCAAGCAGATACACAAAGCGATGGTAGAGACACAGAGACGGACACTGATACGCTTGTTGCACACTCACAAACACACACACGGCACACTCATTGGAGCTGTGAGTTTTCATCGGCCGCCCTGCTGTTTTATTGTTCGGGGAACGCTTTTCGGGGCCGTGTCTACATGATAATCAATTATTTTACTACTCACTGATTATGTGGGTCGGCAAACAGGACAACGGGACTCGGGACTCTTACTGACTGACTGACTGACTGACTGACAGGATGCCTTAAAGGATGCCTGCCAGCTTGTTTGTGTTCAATTAGTTATATTCCGAGAATATTTTAAGCTCCTGCCGAGTGGCAATTAGAGAAACTGCACACGACTGGAATCAAAACGAAAACTCCTTCGCAGTCTTGATCACCATCCGCCCTGCGATTCCCGTTTTGGGGCCACTTTTGGGGCCCGCCTGCCAACAGCAAATTGTGTTGTAATTTGTTGGTTGTTGGTTGCATGTTGAAAATGAAGTCAGGATCATGGCAGGGCCTCCTGCTCCTCTGCCGACGACGCCCTTCCTCATTTGCATAGCCTCTGGGGAATGTGGGGCATGTTGTGACTCTTCCGAATCTCCACATTTCACTTTAAACGTTTCATGGTCTCCGGGCTGGCTTTGCTTTATGGCCTGGCCGTAAAGCCTGCCTCTGTTTCTTCGCCCGACTCTCCGCTCTCCGTTCCTGCACATTCAGACATCTTTACGACACACGTGTCCGAGACTTTACGAGCTGTAAATTGTGGGGAGCAAGCTCCTGAACTGCCATAACTATCATTATGAGGAAATTGTGAGTGTCTGCACAGGACCCTCATGCATATTCAGAGACTACAGACTTAGGCACCCACCTCTCTTTGGTAGGAGGCTTCTATTTGTGTCTTCAAACAGACTGGCATCATGGCTTCGAGGGATATTTAATGGAGGGAACCCTCAAGTCCTTTCTATCGAACTCTAGTTTGTACAAATGTATCAACACAGAGTATTCATCATTTACGATTCATTTTGGACCTTTTCTAACACCTTAATTCAGTCCAAAGAGTATCTGTTGAAATATATTGGAGTACAGGTAGGGCTGAGAGTCATTCATAGAGTACAGGTCCGCTCATCATTCTTCACAGCACCCTGTCGCAGATTCCCGTAAATGAATTCTCCACTCGGTAAATCAAATCATCCCCCAAGTGGAAGCACACCCCTCTACCGCCACCTTTCCCCTACCTGTGGCAGGACCAAAGACATCTCCCACTGCCCGTCCATTAAAATTGTGTGTTTTTTCTTTCATCCACACATTAATGAATTTTCAGGCTCTAACAATCCTCGG